CGTCCTTAAAAGGGGGATAATGTCATACTGACATTCGTTGCACTCAGTTTGCTATCAAACTCAAGAGCAAACTTAGAAATCTCCTCCTCAAACCTACAAGTCACCATACATATCTTGGCTTATCACACCAACAACAGAAGCAATACTACTCAACGATTGCTGCAAACTCTTCGACTACATCTGTTTATGCTACATACATCACGGCATATCATTTGGACACTCATTGAACAAGTTATTAAGAAAATCTCCTCCTTAAGAGGGTGGGCCAATACTACCACATGGCATATCTCTACCAACTAGAGGCCTAGGAACATGAACAATAGCTCTAGAAGCTTCTACAACCCTCTATGGTTCATTACACGTCATCGCTCCTTAGTTACCCACAAGATTGGTTAAGTTATGACATAATTTATCTATAGGTACTCTGACCTTGGACCTCCTTTTCACTTCCTATAGGCTAGGAACCCAAGAGATGGTTCTATGGGATTCTCTTACGTTCACTACATGATTAGCAAGCTAGTTGTGGGTCGCACTTGATTTCTAATACATTTACCAAGCCTGGTTAGTCATGGAAAGTCATGGAAAATGAGAGAACTACACTCCTTTGGCATAAATAGGATTGCCCTTTCCTTAAGAAAGGGCAAGCAGACAATACAGTAAATCGACTATCACATACTTCCACGTCTTTTACAAGCTTTCAAGCATTCATCTTGTTACTCCTTGTTTCTGAAAAGTCAGTGAGGTGTTAACCTCTGACTTACCCCTGAGTTCCCAGACTCAACATTTGTTGCAACTTGTCTGAACCACTTCACTACATCACACACCTGATTGCTGCGTTGTGGAATAGTCTAAGCTACAACCCTTTGGCTCTGTTTCCTAAGACAGTGTGTTGTCTTAGTAAAATCATCCCTTCCTTGGGTGGCTAGATTCTCACATCTGGTGCACCCACCATTACAGCTATTCGTTTTCCGAATCGATGATAGACTCAGCTGTAGATACCTCATTCACTTGAGCTTTGTGTAACGCTGACTTCTAAATGATAGAAGACACAGAGGTTCTCTTGCGTAAAGGTTTACTTATCAGAGGAGGCAGGGGATCAGACACAAAGGCTTCAAGTAACACGTTACTAGTATATAACAAATACTGTATTGAGTTGAGCACGAAGCTCCTATCTAAGGAAATACTATCTACTTATATAGTGGCGTCGTGCCTCATGGGTAATCTGGATAGTTGGCGGATAGCTAGATATTCAGGGTAGTTCGTGGATAGCTCAACTATCCAATATCCACTAGTTTCTGCAACTATCCATTAGCCCCGTCACATGGCAGCCTACCCCGCTTCCCACTGTGACTCACACGTCACGTTATGTGACTCACACGTCACGTTACTAGGCCCTGGCCCTGTAACCATGACATCATGTTACTATAGCCGTAACACTTTGAGCTTCTGGGGACAGTCTCGAGCTCGATGTCCATTTTGTCGGCATATGAAGCATTTCCCAAGTTTCATGAGCATTTCTTTTGCTGGATCTTGATGCGGTGGTCGATACAGCTTCTGCATCTTGTTTTGCATGTTCGAATCCATTGTAGGTTGAGGGATTGAAGTTCGAAGTGCCTGGCCCTGATTTTGAGTTTGGCCCATGTTGTTCGAAAATGACTTTGGCTTCCTTTTGTCTTCTTGTTCCTTGATCCGCTGAATGTTCTGGTCGATGAGCATGCATTTCTTTGCAAACTCGTGAAGTGTAGTAGCTCCAACTTCAGCCACTAAGGCTTTCTGCATCTGTTGGTTGACTTTGAAGCGCAAGTCATCCAGCAAAGTTTCTTCAGAGTAATCAAGCTCTGTCGTGAGCCTTTGGAACTCAGCCCAGAACACTGCAAAGGTGTTGTTTCTCTGATACAGCTTTTGATACTCAGTTTGAGCTGTGTGCCTTCGATCGGGATCACTGAAGACTTTTTCCAAAAGTTCGAGAATTTCTTCTGCTGTCTGCAATTTGTTTGTAGAGTTTGGTCGAAGCCTTGGATTGACATGTCGAACTGCCAGTCCTCCCAGTCGACTCTGAATGTAGCTCATTTGTAAAGTCTGTGTTGGAAAATGATCAATGTTGGCTTCGAGCTTGAGGCGAATTTTCACAACCCAGTCTTCAAATGCTGGCTCTATCCCATCTGTGAGGATTGGAGGGTCTGGAATCCGAGCTGACAGTCGACTGTGAGAGTGGTGTCCTGGTTCATTCTTCAGAGCTTGTTGGGTTTGCTTTTCAAGATATTTCTGAATTGTTTGTTGCTCTGTGATTTGTTGCTCGTTGCTCTGGATCAGTTCCTGTAACTGGAGAATGGCATCATCCTTTTCAGCCAGTATCGAATTTGAGTCCTCTGCTAGGGCCAAATAGTCCCGAAGAATGTTCTTGTGCAAAGTCCATGCCATTTTCTGGTTGGCGACAGATAGTTTCTGGAATTCGTCAAAGGTTTCAACATTCCATTCAGCCTTTTCATGTCGATTTGCAAGTATAGATTCATGTCTCTCTTGAGCTGTTTTGCCCAGAGTGTGAAGGAAGGTTTCGGATTTGAAATTAGGATCATGAAGTTCATTGGTTTGGTTTGCAGAGCTTGGAATTGATGCTCCTTCTGCCAGGGATTCCTGGTCTTGTTCTGGATCATTTCGAGCTGCCATTGCAGCTTTTTCTTCAGCTGTATAAGCCATAGCGAGTTGCTATTTCAATTTCAGTTTATATCGTCAAGTCAGACACATATTGCCAAAGGCCCTATTGTGCAGTTGTTGGCTGTAGGAGCCACTCGAGAGGAGCGCACTTCCCTCACAGTTATATCCTTGTCGAGGGAGCGTTGTAAAAGGTCTGACTTGCGAAGGTGGTGTGTGTGTGTTGAGCTGACTGTCGAAAGCCAACTTTGAGGGGTTGCCTCGAGATCGTCCTGGAATCGACTTCAGGATAAGGTTTCTGGTTCTGGGGTTTTCAAAGAGTGGATTTCGATTTCGATTTCAGAAGAGGGTTCAGCTCAAAGAGCAGGAAAAGAGGTATAAGAGAGATTGAGTTTTATGTCACGGTTCACCAAGGCATAGGGCGCCAGTTGGGTATTATAAATTAAACTCAATCTAGAGAAGAAAGGAAAGAGAAGAGGAGCACTCGAGCAGTGGCTCGATCTATATACAGCTATGTTGTTGTGGAGTGAATTCTCTTTAGCGAGACCAGTTCTGAGAATTCACTCCACAACTGAAAACTTCGCTCCAACCCCGGAAAGCTCCCCACACCCCTGAACCCCCACTCGAGCTGCGAGGCGCACTTGATATCGTAACACTACCTTCAGACTCTACAACAATCAGCCCATTCTTTGCAAATAAGGGCTTCGAGCCAAGAATGAGTTTTGATATTAAGAACAGCGAGTTCCAAATAGCGCCACAGGAACACAAGGATATGATACAAAGCATGAAAGATATTTGGGCATTTCTGCAAGACCAAATCGCACTCTCGCAAACTCGCATGGAGACATTCGCAAATCAACGCAGGAAAGCTGCACCAAGATATCAGGTTGGAGATCAAGTATGGCTATCTACACAAAATATCAGGACTCAGAGGCCATCGAAGAAACTCGATCACAAGCAAGTTGGTCCGTATAAGATTCTCGAACGAATTGGGCAAGTGGTATATTGATTAGAGCTACCACCAAGCATGAAGATACATCCTGTCTTTCACAGCAACCTCTTACGACTTGACTCAGATGATGCTTTACAAGGCCAGCACCATGAACCACCCCTGCCAATCATTATAGAAGATGAACTTGAATGGGAAGTTGAAGGAATCCTAGATTCTAAATTCCTACAGAAGAAGCTGTTCTATATGGCAGCATGGAAGAACCACCCACCAGACAACACTTGGTATCCCGCTACAAACTTCAACAATGCACCTGAACTCACACAAGCTTTCCACCGAAAATACCCACAGAAGCCACAATGATCTTACTCTTGATCAGGAGATCAATCTTAGTAGGGGGGGGGGTAGTGTTACAATTATAGCTTACGGTTGTTACGGTTGTTACGGGTGCAGCCTTAGCCACCAAGGCTACACCGCTAAGCGGAAAACTGTATATTATGAGGAATAGCCTCACCTTCCTTCCTTCTTCTTCTTCTTCTCTCTTTAGATTCAATCTAGCTTATTATTCTCCGGACTGGCTTCTTGACCTCCGTGACCATCGTAACATGTTCAGCGAGTATATCTTTAAATGATAGAGATATGTCATGTGTAGTATTAGCCCAGTAACTAAGGAGTGATGTCATGTAATGAATCATAGAAGGTTGTAGAGATATGCTATGTGGTCATATCGACCCAGTAACTAAGGAGCAATGACGTGTAATGAATCATAGAGGGTTGTAGCAATCGTTGAGTAGTATTGCTCTTGTTGTTGGTGTGACAAGCCAAAATATGTATAGTGACTTGTAGGTTTGAGGAGGAGATTTCTAAGTTTGCTCTTGAGTTTGATAGCAAACTGAGTGCAATGAATTTCAGTATGACATAAGGGGGGCCCATATGTGAGGGAACGGGCAGGTGACTTTCATACTTTATGAATATCGTGTAAATAGCTTAAGTCAGAGCTTTCCTTACGAATCTCTTTCTCTCTTTGTAAACAATCATTTTGCCCAAGTCGCATTCGACCTTGTTCGTGCTCTTGTACCGTCACACTTTTCCGTTTTCACGGCAATTTTTTCTTCTACCTTTGCTTTCCGTTTTCAGTTTCGGGTTCTACAGCACATATCTGTGAATAGTAAAGGGTTATGTATACACTCTGAACATTCCAACATGACTTTGATGTAAAGTTGGCCGTCTTCTGTCATCTCAAAGTTCTCATATTTCTTCAGCTTGGGAGGTCGTCTAAGCCAACCAATATACTCAGGGCACAGAGATCGATACTCATCACAAATTGCTCATAAATACCAAAATCACCCATTCAATGATCTGGAACTTGCAAAACTTGCATTCAACATAATTTTATTTATCCCAATGCTCACCTCTATTTCCTATCTACATAGCCAACCCGTTTCCCCACCTACTGCTCATACTTCCCCGCCTCCGGCTCCTTCACCAATTCACACCATCCATACGGATCCTCAGACTTCCCCCTCTGGATATCCTGTAGCGTCGTGAGCAGCTTCGTGAAGACTGGCCCTGGCTCCTCGGTCTCCTCGGCGATGTAGGGGAATGTGTCGTCGCGGGAGCCGCGGGTGATGGAGCGGATGGGGACGAGGGCTGCGGCGGTGCCGGCGGCGATGACCTCGGTGAAGGTGGAGAGTTCTTCGTATTTGATCTAAGGGGAACATGGTTAGTTTTTGGTCCCTGTGTGGCCTGGAAGAAACCGAGATATGGGGTGGTGCTTACCGAACGTTTCTCGACGGTGTATCCGAGGGACTTTGCGATCTCAAGAACGGAATCGGCAGTCACGCTAGCAATCACATTTTTGCTATCCGGCACCGCGATGGTGGTCTTCTCCCCCTCGGTCCTGACGCCAATGAAGCCGCTGGTGGAGAACTCGTCGATCTCCGAGCGCGTCTGCGAATCAAGATGTAGCGTGATTCCAAAGCCCTCATTGCGCGCCTTCTCACTGTGACGGAGGACAGGGGCGTAGTTGCCGCCGACCTTTGCGCTGCCGGTTCCCTCGGGGGCAGAGCGATCAAAGTCCTCAAGAATGAGAGCCTTGACGGGGTGAATACCGTGGTAGACGCCGACGGGGAGGACGTAGACGCAGAAAGTGTATTCCTCCGGCGGGCTGAGGCCGAGCTGAGCAGAGGATCCGAAGACGAGAGGGCGGATGTACATCGCTGCACCAGTCTCGAAGGGAGGCACGTGCGCGGCGTTGAGGGCGACGGCGGCGTGGACGGCTTCGACGAAGACAGCCTCTGGGATTTGGGGGATGGAGATGAAGTCTGCGGAGTGCTGCATGCGGAGGGCGTTTTTGGAGGGGCGGAAGATCTGGATGGTGTTGTTCGGGGTGCGGAAGGCCTTGAGGCCTTCATAGGCTTGTTGGCCGTAGTTGAGGCCGGGGGCCATGCCATGGATGCGGAGGAAGGGGTCGGTGACGAATTTTGGGGCGGCCCATTGGCCGGTCTTCTTGGAGTAGTGGCATTCGATGTGGCCGTTTACTTCGCGGACTTTGAAGCCGATGTCGTTCCAGTCTACCGGAGGGCCGGGTCAGTGAGTTGCTCGGATAGAGGGGAAAGGTGGCGGATGGAGGGGTAATGTAGGAGTTGGCAGAGGATTGAAGATGAATTACCGGCCAGGAAAGCCCGGAGAGTATATTGATTCCATCTCTTGAGCCACAGAGGTGCTTCACTCGGTCTGACAGTGATTGAAGCGGGGTTGACTTACCAATGGTATCGACTGGCGGAGGAGGGAAAACCATTTTGTGATAGATTTTGGGTTGATATTTGAGAAAATGCAAGAATATATCTACAATTCACACAAGTTTCTTGTATGCAAAAAAGAATCTCTATAGATGCTTCAAAGCTCGTGTGCATACAAATATGAAGAAACGCAGCACGGTGAGTAAGACGAGGCTGATGAGTCCATAAAGTCTGGTTGCAGTCCCGAACATCGGCCACATCCCACGCATAGCGCCCAAGTGGTTGTGCCGCCCAAAAGTTCCCAGGATGGTCCGTGCGCAAGGAACCATGTAGTAATCAACAAATCAACCTAGGAGCTCGGAGCGGAATATCTCTCTCGGAGCCCCAACCGTTACGAAGACCAAGCTGCCTGACAGCCACAACTGACAGCCAGCTCTCAAAACAGCAAAACAACCTCTCACCCTCTCAAACACGCGCAAATCGACGAATCGACCTTGATATTTGTATAATAAGAATCTGAAAAACACAACAATATGGAGTTCGGCAACTCAGGAATGCTGAATGAGGGTGCGTGATGCGTGGCCCTGCTCCCCCCGTGAAGCTGTTGTTGACCAGGATCATTGCAGATGGCATCCATGTCGACATGGACAGGCTCAAGAAGGGCGAGGTGAAGTGAGTTGCAGCTGTCTGAAGCTTCAAGTACCATCAACTAACCTTCTCCGCAGCTTAGGAACGTCAATGTAAGCTCGGTCTCACCACGCCAGCACCACAAACGAATCTCAACTGACCCCAACTAGCATGGCAATCAACTTCAAAGACGGCGTCATATTAGGTACGCACACACACTGGCAGTGAGGGAAGGAGTGAGGGCAAGGCTGACGAACACAGGCGCGGACAGCAGAACCACAACCGGCGCCTACATCGCCAACCGCGTGACGGACAAGCTGACGCAGGTGCACGACACGATCTGGTGCTGCCGATCCGGCTCAGCGGCCGACACGCAGGCTGTCGCGGATATCGTACACTACCAGCTGGGGATGTACGGGATCCAGAACGGGGCGCCGCCGACGACGCAGGTGGCCGCGGCGATGTTCCAGGAGCTGTGCTACAACAATAAGGACAGGTTGAGGTGAGGACATACATCCTACCCGCACACAGAACGAGGGAGAGGGAGAGAGGAGCAGGATTATGGCAGATGGGAGACGGAGACGCAGATGCTGACGTGGACGATATAGTGCTGGACTGATTATCGCTGGCTGGGACGAGCGCCACGGCGGGCAGGTGTACTCGATCCCCCTCGGCGGATCGCTGCACAAGCAGTCGTACGCGATCGGCGGCTCGGGGTCGACGTACATCTACGGATACTGTGACGCGAACTGGCAGGAGGGCTTTGAGGAGGCGGAGGCTGTTGACTTCGTCAAGGGCGCGCTGACCGAGGCGATCAAGTGGGATGGCAGCTCGGGAGGCGTGATCCGCATGGTGGTGCTGACGAAGAAGGGAGCCGTGAGACACTTGTACCTGCCGGATAATGGGTATAAGGTTAATGTAGCCTGAGTCGAGCCCAGCGATGGAGGGCGCGGCGTGGCGGAAGACCGGAAGTACCCCGGGGGGGGGGGGGGGGGGAGGGGGAGGGAAGAGGGTGGGAAGGGGAAGGGAAGGGGGACGAAGTGGGACGAAGTGGGACGAAGGGGGAGGGGTGAAGTGGAGTGGTGGAATGGAAAGAAAGAAAGTGTTGGTAGCGGGCGCGGTTAGGCGTTTGTTATTTTCGGGGATGGGGAAATAGATTTGATATCCACCCGACGATTCCGCGTTTCCGATGCCCCATGTCCCCCACGTGTCGTGTGATGTCGGCTTCGGCGACGTCGGGGAATTTGAAGTTGAGTGGAGTGGTACTCCAAGCGGTGAATGAGATATGTGCAGTGCAGGCCAGTATGGTGAAATGTGATGATGGAATGTGAGGCGGTGTACATACACGGGTATGGGATAGCGGATATGATTGGCAGACTGTGGTGGCAGGCATTAGGGGGATGGTTGTACAGGGTACTTTTGATCTGGGCCAGGGGATGGTTGGTGGTGCTTGTATCAGTGTCTTTGTTCGCTATCAATCCCACCACCACGCCCACCACCACGCCTAGTTTTTTCTTCCATAATACGAATAATCTAATACAAACCACCACCAGCCTCGGAAAAGACATTGCGATATAAACCAAGACAATAATAGACCACCATAAAACACTCTAATAGACAAGACAATTAAAACATAAAACACTCTAATAGACAATTAAAACCACATTAGAAAACGATAGGTCAGTCACCGACTCACCCACTCAATCTCCAATGAACTGTCCTCCCATTCTACCACCCCAATCTCCAATGAACTGTCCTCCCATTCTACCACCCCAACCTCCAATGAACTGTCCTCCCATTCTACACCCCAACCTCCAATGAACTGTCCTCCCATTCTACCACCACCACTACACTACTACACTACCACTACCACTACACTACACTGCACTACACTACCACTACCACTACCACTACCACTACCACTACCACTACCACTACCACTACCACTACCACTACCATCACTAGACGACGACGACGACGACCACCACCACCACTACCATCACTAGACCACCACCACCACCACCACAACCACCACTACCATCACTAGACCACCACCACCACCACCACAACCACTACCACCGCTAGACCACCACCACCACCACTATAGTGGTCTACCACCACCACCACTCACTATCTTACCGCTTTTTCCTTTTTACCTACTACTCAAAATCTCCCCGTATGTAAAAAGGTGCCTCGCCCCCATCATCTCTCCCACTTCTCTCCCTCTTCCCACTTTCTTTCCCTCTCCCACTTTCTCTCCTCTCCCACTTTCCCTCTCTCTCCCACTTTCCCTCTTTCCCTCTTTCCCTCTCTCTCCCACTTTCCCTCTCTCCCTCTCCCTCTTCACTCCCCCTCTCCCTCCCCCTCCCCCTCCTCTCCCTCTCTCTCTCTCCCTCCCCCCCCCCCCCCTTCTCTCTCTCCTCTTTCTTCCCCCCCTCTCACTCCAAATCCCGCTATTCTATATTCGCCATCATCTATAGACGGCGTTGGCAATTGATACTCTGGCTGCTTAATTACTCTGTGCTTCATTTGTGTGTTTGTGTTTTTGCTTTTTCAAATCCCTCACCCTCTTCTCTTTACTTATCGCTGAGGCAGCGCCTTTTCGCCCCGACTAAAGCTAGCCAGTGACGTCCGTCGTATATCGACCACCCCAACGGACTTCCTCAAATCTCGCCATCCACTACCATAACATATCTCACGACCAACAACCACCACGACCACAACAAAGACCCCTGAATACCCGCCACCTGAAACCACTGGAGCCTCGAATATCCCGTCGAAACATCCAGCTCTACCCCGTCACCCTACAAAAGCGCGCTCAGCCCCGGCAAATATATATATCGCAACAAGGCTTTTTGTTCTCGCAGCTACAAGTAGAGAGCCAATTCCAGACAAACTTACCGCGCAGTTTTGCCACCAGAGGAAATGCTGCAGGTAAGCTTTTGCGCCTTCTGTGTTCAAGCCCCAAGTTCGCACGTCAGAGGAAGGCGTGGGTCTACATGCGCCACACGTCACAGGCATCCACCCCACATCCTTCAGCAGTGGCTCAGGATAAGCTTGATATGGGAATCGTGGAGACAAGAGGCGGCCGGAAGTCCACATGCAGGGTCTCCCCACGAACCCGGTTCTCGTTCAGCCACCCTGTTGTGCGCGTTCGCCGAGCTTCACCGTCACTCCGAATCGCCTCGCCCCTCCTTACCTGTGACGTGACGGGCAGGCTGTACCCCACTTCCGCACATCCCAGCCTGCTTCCATTCCCGCCACGCGCCTATGCAAGTGTGAACAACCCAGACTAACATCATCCAGGCGCAGTCCTCGACATTCTAGTGTAATATGGCTGTTGTGATCAGCGAGACTGTCACAGACACCCGATACTTCCCCACCATGAGACGAGGCGATGAGCGCCAGCACTCCCCGCCGCGCTACCGATCCTCCCCCAACCCGCGCCGCCGCTCCCCGCCGACCCAGCGCGTGCGGCAACCAAACGAAATCCCTTATCGCATCGCGAACGAGTCCTACGATCGCCCGGGGCAATTTCCCCGCCGGCCGCCGACCGACTCAAGCTCAGAGGACGAGGCTACCGTGCGGCAGCCGATTGCGAGCCAGCAGTACTTTGAGCAGCATGGCCAGCCTAGGGCAGGCCAACATGCGCCACCAGCGCGGAATGATTATATCCCACAACACGATGGGTCGGTGTTAGCGTCACCGGCGAATTCGACGAGCCCGCCGCCGAGGCCGGTGTGGACGGCAGACGACGCATTGACGCAGGAGAGTAGCACCATAAAGGTGCGGGATCTGGCACATATACAGAGCTTCGCCACAGAGGAGTTCTTGACGAATCGAGCGTCGGAATATAGGGCGCTGGGGAGGCAGGCAACGCCGAAATATGAGATTGCCACTATGCCGGTAACTGACATCATTGAGATGGTTGCGGGGTTATTGACGAAGATAACGACGACGAACGACCGGCAGCATGAGCATCTGCATATGCCATTGCCGCCGTCGGAGGGGAATACGAATATGTCCGGGCTGACTACGAGCGTCCTGGCGTTCCATGGGAAGAACGTGCCAAGCATTACTATCCTGAGCTACCTGAGTCGGGTGCACAAGTACTGTCCCCTGACGTACGAGGTGTTTCTGAGCCTGTTGGTCTACTTCGACCGCATGACGGAGCGCGTCAACGCCGGGCCCACGGATAGCACGAGGGAGACATCATCCTCTGATGGCCACCCCTCTCGGCCTTCCACCGGACTCTCGACCTTGCGGCACGAAGATCCGGAAATGCCACGGACGCCGATGTCCGGGCTCAGCGTGAATGGCAGCATTGAGGATACGGCGAGGGGACAGTACGCGACGCCGCCGGATGAGGATTCGCCGCAGTATAACCTTGCGCACTACTTTGTGGTGGATAGCTATAACATCCACCGCCTCCTGATATCGGGGGTGACGTGCGCGAGCAAGTTCTTCTCGGATACGTTTTATACTAATTCTCGATATGCCAAGGTATGTCCTTTCCCCCCTTGATCCCATTGTAGTCATATCTCCAAGAGCGTATACTGACAGTAATAGGTCGGCGGTCTCCCTCTAGCAGAACTGAACCACCTGGAACTGCAATTCCTCCTCCTCAACGACTTTCGCCTTGCTGTCCCTGTTGAGGAACTCGAGGCATACGGAACGATGCTCGTAGAGTTCTACGCCCGCGAGGTCGTCGCGCAACGAGAGCAGCAGCGCTCACAGCTCGATGTAGCCAGTAGTATGGCATACGAAGACGACAGCTAGTCTGTCTCGCGAAACCCATCAGCACAAAACAAAAAGTGTGCTGAATGAGCTCGTCCAACCTAAGCCGCCTCCGCCTCCACCTCCACCCCCGACCCGACACCAAAAGTCGATCGAGCCGAGCTTGCTTGGCCAGATTAACGGAACCTCTTTTTTACTTTATTTTCAGTTCTTTTTAACGACATTTCGAGATATAGATAGACTTATTTACGGCCCTTTTAAGTTTGGGGGTGGGAGGGGGGGTTCTGGGTTTAGGGGGCGGTAGGCGGGTATGTTTGAATTGGGGGGGGGGTTCGGGATCTCCTATTTTCTCAGTGGAGGGAGGGGTTGTGGGAAGGGTGCTTGGGGGTTGGGGTTGGGCTTTGTAGGGTTTTGGCGGCGGGGATGAACTGATTGTATTGTGTCTGACGGTCTGGCATGAGAATAGGTGAATTATTGTGCGGGGTTAGCGGGGTTAGCGGGGCGGCGTTGACGGATGGCGGGGAGGGAGGGGGCGGCTCTACCTTTGAGTGAGTTGAGTAATGATGGTTGTGATGGGCTGCCGTGGCGGCGGATTGGGGGTGTTGATGGGGGATATGCTGGGGGGGTTACTTGTGTATAGAATTATAGTTTAGGTGTGGGAAGTGAGGAGGGAAGGCCCAGAGTATGGTTGAAATCACAGCAAGTGAGATTTGAGACGCGAGAGCGATAGTTTTTTTTTGCCTTCTTCTGGGCACGCACACCGGTTCGTGGATGGCGTATGTTACACATAAAGAAAAGGAAAATCACAGTCAGTCAGACAGAGAGGGATATTAAACACCCATAATCCCAGCCTCGAATATATGCGTGATATACCTGTATTCCAATTCTCCGATACCCAGCGCGCGTGGCATGGGTGCGTGCGTCCGTCCCGTCTGTGGTTTACCCCCCAAGCAGGGCAAACAACGCCCACGCCGACGATCCCCACAAAGGAAGGCCTGGCCCGTCGTAGTGGGGTGTACCACCACAGGATCACGCCGTACAGAAATTTTGAGAGTCAGACGACGATCGGGCGAGGCGGGGGAGGGAGGCGAGGGGAGGATGGGCCGGCGGGCGGGTATGGGTACATAAGACGGCGGGTGTGTGACCTTTTGGTTTTGCCACCACGCAAAAGGATTGAATTGGATATTGAGGGTTTTATTTGTGTTGTTTGTTATTTATCTATTGTTGCCGAAGAATTGATTCTGTGATTTACACCGAAGAATCCTCGAGTCGAGCCATACACCGCCGACCGACCTTTAAAGCTCAACCCCACGTCACAATCGACTACTGGAGGCGCATCCACCACCACAACCACCACAAGCTTGACTCAACCCACGACCATCACAATGCCTGATACTACACCCCCAAGCAGCGAGGCGGCAGACCCGAGTCCGTATGAAGAGGCGACGCGACGGTCGACTTCCACGAGTCGGTATGCGGCGCATGGACGGGGTGGCGCTGGTATGTCCTTCTTTGCTCCTAGCCCTTCCCCTCACGCACCCCGACCGCCCACTCACCCTCTCTCGACCACCAATCCATTGAATTGGAATTACTGGCCAAGGCTAATGGAGTGAGCAGGTAATATCTCGGCAGCACCACCACCCCCAGTCTCCCCGACGGACCTGGAGACGCCGACGCTGAAGGAGGAGGTGTATACGACGGGGCGGGGGGGGAGTGGGAATATGGTTGCGAATACGGGGAAGGCGGGGGCGAGGAGGGCGCAGGATGTTGTTGCGTGAGTCTCTATCTCTACCTACTTTCGGCTTGCTGTCTTGATGGCCGGGGGAGGGGGGGCCGAGGCGATGCTGAGGAGGAGGAGGATGAGGCTAATTGGTGTGTTTGCAGACTGCCGAGACGAGAGTCAGAAGGTGCGCATGTAGGACGCGGAGGTGCGGCGAATATTGTCAAGGTGCCTACGAGGGGCCAGGGGGAGGAATCGTCTGTGGGGGCGAAGGATGAGAGGGAAGGGAAGGAGAGAAAAGAGGTGAAGGAAAAGAAGGAGGGGAAGGGGAAGGGGAAGAACATTGAAGGTGCACCGGTGGAAGAGGGCGTTGTAGAGAGGGGTCGGAGGTGGGTTGCTGGGCTTGTGAGGAGGGGGTCATAGTCGTAGTAGGGGTTTGGTTTGGGGGGCCGGGGGGGGGAAGGGGGGGTAAGTTAATAGAGGGGTGATGTGGGGATAGTGGCGTTGATGGGATTGAACTGTGTGCTTGAAGGCGTTTAGGGCGCAATGATGGGGAGGTGATGGGTAATACCTGGAGTCAGAATTTGCATCAGAAGGAAAAATAGTGACTAGCTAGCTAGCTGTATATTAACCAGTATTCTGATTGCATGTCTAGGAGAGGAGGCTTAAGGCTCAACAAATATATATTGGAGCCCATTTGGACTCTCCGAATTCTAACTTGAACACTGAGTCTCTGATATCTTCAGAACAGCACGAGTAAAATCTTAACATCAGAAATCTATAATAACGCAAAACCCCTTCGCTATGCGTGTATCATCCAATCATCACTTTTCCCACGCTAAACAATAAACTCGCACACACTGAAACTACCCATCTATCCCCACGCCACAAGAACCTGTTTCCTCCCTTTATTCCCCTTCTTCTTCCCCCCCTGCTCTTCCTGCTGCTGCCGCACCTCCTCCGCCTGCGACGCTCCCCATGCACTCGCCCCGGCGCCGCTTCCCTGCCCAGTATCACGCCGGACCATTCCGCGGCCGTATCCGAAGATCGTGCTTACGGGTTTTGGCGCTGGAGGTAACGATGGGAAGTTGCCACCAGTAGCTCCGCCACGACCACCGGCTACGCGAGATGCCGGACGCGAGGACGGGGGTGTAGCGCGGGGAGTGCTTTGTGAAGAACTCGCGTTGCCAGATGACGGCTTCCACGGCACCGTCGTCACCCTCGGCGTCGGCTGCACGGACGACGACGGCGGCGGCGGGAGAGTCGGGAACGCAGATTCGCTCCTCGAGCTACTCGGCGTAGCGGTATTAGTCCACGTCCCGTTCCTGCTCTGACTCGAGCGCGAGGACTGCTGAGTCAAAGATTTGAGTTTCAGAACACGAGAGGACTTGGCAGGGGCGATGGTGACGTTCGGTGGCATTGATGCGGTGACGCCTGCCCAGCCTACGCTGGCGCTGTCGGTCATGCCGCTGGGGCCGGGGAGGGAGGGGTAGTCCTCGTTGATTGCGCGCCAGTCGTTCCAGGCGGTGCGGATGCCCTCTGCCTTCTTGACGTCTTCGTAGAGGTCTGCGACGTCGCGGATGAGGGTGCCGAGCGCGGAGCTGGAGGTGTCGGAGAAGAGGGCGAAGAAGATGTCGATGAGGGCGGAGGCGGAGATAGCGTTGGAGCGGTAGGAGGAGAGGGCGTTGCGGAATTGGGTGATTTTGAGGTTGTCGTTGTTGAGCAGCTGGGTTGCTTTGGAGATGACGGACATGTGGTGTTGGCGGCGGGCTTGCTCTTGTGGTGAGAGATCGGCCTCGGCGACGGCAGGGGCTTGGGGTTGTGCTGCTGGGGCCGTTCGCGATGTTGTAGATGAACGTGATGAGTTGGTGGCACCAGTGTTACGTCCTGACGTTGCTGCTGCTGATTGAGCCGGAGTTGGCGCAGTCAGTTGTCCGCCAAACGTGCGTGTTGTTACTGACTGTGCACTCTGGATTGCCATTTGCCGTTGGAAAGCTTGTTCGTCTCTACGCAGTGGTTGTGCAGTTGATGCTGGGATTGGTTCCGCATTTGGGTCCCTCCCTCGCCCACGATTCCGTGATTCCCTCTGGCTCTCTCCTCCACGTCTTTCCTGGTAGTATGGTGCCCTGTAGTCGAACGACGACAGGTCGACAACTCTAGCATCTCGCCTTACATCTTTTGACAAAGTATTGGCATGCTCCTCCAGTTGATGTGCCTTGAGATCCATCTCGGACGAAAATACGATAAACTTCTTCTCCTGGCACTCTCGCTCCATACACATATAATGGTCCTTCTTAAAATGGCCCTCTAGAGACTCGTAGTTGACGTAGTAGTGGGGATTCCGGCTGTCTGCCCTGTCGCACAAGAAGCATCTCTCATGCTTTTGCCGACAATGCACATAGAGCTCGTCATCCCCATAAAACCTCTGCCCACAGAAGCTACACAGCGGGTGGCCCTTGAAGCCACTTTGGTCCTTGGCGCCTGGGTTGTCATCCCCCTTGGACATATGCATCTGTAACTCTTTGTCCGTAAATAAATCGTGCTCGTGCGTAAAGACTTTCTTATGCCTTGTGCAGAGATCACACATCTTCTTGTGGTGAGTACCCCTTACGTGGCGGTGCAATTCTGGCCATGCGCGACAGGCAATATCGCACGCTGGCTCTGGACAGTTGTAGTGCAGAAGGATAAGTGAGTCGCCCATTATCTCTTGGGTCTGGTATTTGATGCCGATATTGTGATCCGTGCTTGCGAAATCTCGCTCAGCATAGTCCTCGAATCGTTTCGTTGCATCATCGGTGAAGATGACATATTGTGCCTCAGTCTTGAAGTTCAGGTTAGCAATTGAAGTTCCAGAAGAACCTCACAAGGGAAACTTACTCTACAATGAGCGCAGTCTTTCGTTTTATAGAGGGCTCGCATCCGCAGTGCACAGATATGACATGTTCTGTGATTGCAAGGCGCAACGGCATTGTGGACAACGGGCGACGCGCAAATAAAGCACACCTCCGCATCGACATCCTCCTCTTCATCTTTCGCCTCCAATGTCCTTGGAGACGCCGCAGCTGGCACCTCTGCTACCGTTGCTTTCTGCGCAAATCGTGTAGCTAGATCGGCGGGCGTTACTGTGCTGTTGCCTCCTCTCCCCCGCCGGGGCGCTTTACCTTCATTTTGGTTATTGTCTGCTGTTCCTTCTCCTTCATTGTTTGCCATTCCTCCTCGTCCTCTTCTGCCGCCTCTTCCTCCCCTGGCGTTATCTGCTCGGGGTGCTCGTGGTGGGGCAGTCTGGGCGGACTCCGGACGAGTGGCGTTTGCGTCCGCCATAATAATATTTCTCCTTGCCGTACTGCACAATCTTTGATATAAATATTACATGTACCTCCTACATTCAATGTATTCTGCGTTGATGATGTTTGGCCTATGTTTGAATTATCGGAGCTGTTTGTGGTTACGGTGATGAGCTGGAGTGGAAATTTGGACGTGGGGATGTCTCGGTGTGCGAGGCTACGAGGCTGTAAACTTGGCGCTACTGTACTACCACGCAGATAGGTTCAGAGTCATATGCGGAGCTATTGTCTAAGCCCAAGGCTGACTGTGTAGAAATAAGACTGCTTCTGTGAACATCTCACTTTAATCTCAGGTAATTACCTTTTAATCTTTGTTACCCTGCCTGCCCAGGTGGCGTAGAATCACATGGGAGTCACTCGGCCAAAGTTCTAGCGGCTACCGTCCGATTTCAAATCATCAATTCAGATGTCTGCCACTCTATCCAGTGTTTGCTGGACCATCCTCCCTCAGTGATATTCATAAAGTGTCCCCACACCAAATCAATGACGGGTATGCAGCATAATAGCTTTTGAGCCCACGCACAACGCCATATGTCCCAGTAATGCCATATATCCAGGCCCTTTGTCCCCATTGACCCCCCATAATGCCTCTCAACTGCACAGGCTAGTTTTGCGCTGCCGCTGCTTCTGCGGCGAGTTCCTCAACCTCGTACAGGTGCTTTCCCAGTAATTTGTTCATAGTGAACATGTGCACCGTGTCTTGCTTGAAAACCAGCTTCATCTTGTTGTCGCAGAATATCTGACGCTTGTCTGACGGATCCTGGAGATCGTTTCCTTTGATATGCGCCCAGATCTTTTTCACGACTTGTGGCCGAGACGACTGGAACCAGTTAGTTTACGGCACAAAGCGGCTCTCGACCCACATACCTGAGTCTCGCCAACCAATGCAGCCAACGGCTCGGAAAGTGCGTATTGTTTCTACTCGGTGTTAGCCAAAGATCTCTCCCAGTACGTTGTGATTGACTGGCATGAAATCCTCCCTTCCGTTCGGCCACCTTTTTCTCCCCATCTGAATTCAGCTCGATATCACTATCATCCGCTGCCTTAACCCTCGCCGAGCTCTTCTTCTTCCTGACTGTCGACTTCGCCTTTGCCGGCTTCTTATTAACCCCGCCTCTTGTGGCCCTGCCTCGGCTATTCTCTTGCGCCTGGAGTAGGGCAGCTAGCTTAGCATCGCTGTCTGCTGCCGACTGTTTCTTTTGTTTCTTTTTCGGAGGGGCACTGCCGCCGTCTGTGTCATCCGGAGTGCTCTCGTTCTTGACCTCGGCCTTGACGTGGCCGTTGGTTGTTGGTCTCGGCCCTTTGGATATCGGCACGTCTGGCGAAGACGGCGGCTCGGAAGTGATTTTGTCGAAGCGCTCTTCAATCAGGGAATTGACTGCAGACTATCAAAGAAATATTAGTAAAAACAAAGGCATTGGGCTGGAATGGCTTGTGTCACCTTCTGCTCTGATAAGTCCTGACCGACGACCTCTTGTAACTGGTTCCGGACCTTCTTTACTGATATAGTTGCCAAGTCGCTTTTGCTGAGAATATTATCAATGTGGGAACTGAATTGGCGAATCTGTTCCTCTGATAGTCCCATATTGGCGGATAAACTGCTGAAATGTGACGTAACTGGCTATGAAGGTATTGCTTTCGTCTGAACGGTATTGGAGTTTAAGAGTTGGCGCAAACGATAACGGTTTGCTTTAGGCCACTCAATGTTTGGCTAGGTGTAATTGACGCGCTGTTTGAAGTGTATCTTGTGGAAGTTTGCTTGTAGTCAGTGGTGGTAGTTGCTAAATTCTGGCTGGCGCATGCGACTCCAGCTTCTCAACTTGACCTTCGCCAGGGGTCTTTCCAGGTGTGATGGCAGAGAACCAGCCCTGTTATATGAATAGTATGAAATATATATATAATTCCAAAGGAAGCAAATCGGCAAGCAAGTCGGGAAGTAGGATGAATGTAGCTGTTTGTGAGGGCCGGATGTGGAGTAGTTGACGAGCGGGTGCGTGATGGTTCGTCGCGAACCACGATCGGCCAAACCAAACGCCTAGATGCGGCCGCTCCCGCGTTTAAGCGCCGTCATAGGCGTTTTAAGTTTCGGAGAATGCCATCGTTAGAAATACATAATGAATAGCCGCCTTTAGATTCAATTGGATTTCACGGGCTATTTCAATGGCTGCTATAAATTCAATTCGTCTTGAGCTACATAGTACTCCTGATTCGTATATTGCCTCCGTGCGCCCAAAGCTGCCATGCCAATTGCCTTCCTCGAATGACCAAAGCTCTGGATCCGACTCCCTGAGTTCTAAAGTATTATCTCATAGCAATGCTGGCTCATAATACTCTCTGAATCGGTCCACTTCATCCCATCTAACCTCATACACAACATTCCAGCAGCCAATGAGTAGGTTTGGGAATTTCCTTGTCCAGAAGCTCAGATACCCCTCAGGTAAAGGACCTACGTCCTTCTTCAACTTGTCTGACATATCCTCATAATGGTTCTTCTTGTTCCTGAGCGCTCTCAGCAGATCCAACAATCTTGAACCAGTATACTTTCTCTGCTTCCCCAGAGAATCCGTAAACTCCTTCCCAAGCGGTTTCATGAAGTCCCCACGAGTAATTTCCGGCGCCCATCTCTCAAGCTCGATAAGCGCGTCACTCGGAGGGTCCCTCTTCTCCTTTTCAAAGTGATCTGAGACGTCGCAAAGAAAGTTTAGGCGCTTCTTAGCCGACCAGAAAAACGGATGGGACATCACTTGCTTCGCGGTCGGACGGGCCTTTGGCACCTGTTCAAGCATGGACCTGATGAGGTCGGTAGCCTCGAACGCATAGTCGCCAAGAACGTCAAGCGGGCTGAGCTTATATTCGCCTTTTCGAATGTTGACTTCTCGCATATAGCGATCGCCGCAATCGAAAGGATGAGATCCCTTAGTGAGCACGTAAAAGAAGACCAGCCCAAGTGAGAAGATGTCAATGGCTCGTGTGGCGCGCCGATTGGGCATTAAATCACCGGAGACAAGTGGTATTCCTGATGTGCTGTGGCTGCTGGAGAGGGTGGACTCCATGGCCGTAACCGAGCCTTCACGAAGGTCGTCGTCTAGGAGGAGCTCAGGGGCACGCCAGCCAGATGTACCAGCTGCATGGGCAGTGGTAGCGCGGAAGCTTGACTGTTCACCTTCGAGTTTCTTGCAGAGTCCGAAATCAGAAACTAAAAGTCGAGGCCTGCCGTCTTTACCCATTGAGACCAGGATATTCTGGGGCTTGAGATCACGATGTACAATCCGAAGGTTATGGAGATGCTGGAGGCCATTGGTGATCTGGTAAAGGACGTTGGGGAGATCTCGTTCTCCGCTTTGAGCAAGGTCTCGATGAAGTTGTGGCTTTTCAATAACATCTGCTAAAGATGCAGAGCACAGCTCAAGCGCAATATAGAGGAATCCTTGGCTTTGTTGCTGAGCATAGTATCGGATAACTGTCCAAACTGTTAGCTTGCTGAGGTCAATATATAACCTTGTTGAGGGTATACCATTAGGATGATCGTCACTTTCTCGCAAGAGCTTCGTCTCCTGGGATGCAATTTCAAAGAATTGGATGAGCATCCTCTTCACTGCTACGTCCCTTCCGTCAAATTTTCCTTCGAAAACCATGGTGCCATTGCTTCCTGTCCCAATAAGCTTATCCATGTTAACCTCGAGGCTGTTCATGCGTAGGATTGGGCCTGAGATTTCATTGACACCATTAGGTAGAGTTTCGACATCTGGCTCAATGCGGGTAGACCCCCCAAGCATTTTTGCGTCACGGACTGCATCCTCAACGGTAGCAGGGGATGACGGAATTGGCCCATCGGAGCTCGGAGTCTGCCTCTGCCCCTTCTTGTGCTTGAGACCACCACGTTTTCCACGGTGAGCTTTTTTGCCTTCGGCCTTGGGTTGCTTCGGTGGACGCGAGCCATCGTTTGCGGTAACTTCTTCCAACGGTTCTCGGCGGGCCTCATTGGCCACATCTGCTGGTTTGTCATCTTGTTTGTTCGTTGTAGGTGGCTTAGCATCGTCCGATGGGTCTGAGCTTCCCACCGTTGCCACATCCGGAAGGGTTTCGGGAACCGGTGCGTCCTGTTTGAGTGGCGCATCGATATTCGAGAAGTCATCAACGTCTTCGTCCTCTTCTAGCCTTCCTGTGAGCTTTGAAATGATGTTGATGTACTTGTTGCAGGTTGACTTGATCCATCGGGCTATGTCTCTGTTGTACCAAAACAGTAGCGTGAGGAGTAGGAGTGTAGTAATTGGATTATTAACGAGTTCAATTATACTCGTCACTGCTGTTGTTGGAAGCTGCCGGACATGGTACAGAACTGATGGTTTGGGGCCCAGCGCTGGGGATGTCATATTTGCAACTGCATCTTTATGAATAGTTTCATTCTTGCTTTGCAATTTGTCATCCTGATCGGTAGGTCCGGATATGGTCAACAGAGGCTCGTGTCTACGGCCATCGATTGAGTGAAGTCCAACAAGTGCTTTTTGAAGCTGGGCATTGTTCACTGGCTCATGGAAGCGCGCACGTTCCAGCCAATTCGCTGTATCGCACTGTGCCTGTTCGGGGCCGTCGATAACCAATGGGTAGCTATTACCGGACATTGCATACCAGTCTCCGGTCTCGGTATGGTTGACAAATATCCGGGCATGGCGGATACTTTCATGACTGTCATCCACCAAGGGTGGTATTGGCTGAGGAAGGATGATAAGTTCGGGATTCTTCGTGTCGGCATCCACAGGACGGGCTACGTCAAAGACTCGTATAACCGGCGACGGGAGCCTTGCATTGTATAAGGCACCTCTATCTCTCGACCGAGTTAAGTCGTATGCGAAGACTCCTCCGTCGTGGCTGCTATACATATACTTCCCATCGAGGGTGCTTCGGTGTTGCCGTAATAGATCCTGGTCATAATTGTTTGGACCCCACTCTGCGTACTTGAGTGTGACGATAGGATGGCCATCCTTTCCCTGAATGCCGACTGTGTATTCGGTTCGACCCAATGTCAAGGTCCCTCGAGTGCTACATTCCTCGCCATCCGGATCTTGGAACCCATCTGGGCGGTCGCATGTGGCTGCTCCTGGGCTAAAGGAGCCCGCGGATCCGAACCATTTAAGCACTGCTCCGTTTCTGGCATCGATTGTCCACAATGAGGTTACCTTGTCGCCAGTATAGACCACAGCAGGCTCGGTATCGGCGTATGGCACCATTTCCTCAACCAATTTCTTCATGGTGAGACCAGTATTGACCAATCCTGGCTGAGGGCCGCCGGGAATATAAACGAAGAGACTGCCATCAGCGCTTGGTTCGACAATCCAAAGATAGTCATCCACAGGCTGATGCTCTTCGCCATCGGTTCCGTTCCTTTCGTGGTATGTGGTTTGTACAACGGGTCTGTCAACGTCCAGGGCCCACCGTTGTGTCCCAGTCTTCCTATCTCGGGCATACAACTTCCCGTCGACGGTCGCAAGAAGCACAAAGTCTTCTACATCCCAATCCTCAAGACTCCGCGCAGATTGCGGCGAGAGCCCAGCATTATTCCCTATGCTGGATCGTCCTGTGGATGGTGCTCGAACGGCGGATCCCGCCGGAGCAAAAGCTACGATAGCGCTCGCATCGTTTCCATTATTTTCTCTTTTGTTTTTATTTGCACCTGGTGTGCCTTTTGCTCGACCTGCGCTCACCGGCGACTCGAGGCGTTGTGCTTTGTTTCCGAGCGTGGTGGCCTCGAGGGTCGCGATGGGGTCCGTCTTGATGGCCTCGCGTGATGACTTGTATTGGTCTCCAACATCACGACTCGCATTTTGCTGCTGCTGCTGAGCATCGATGAGCCATGGTGAGAGTAATATTACTACCGCGAGGAGGATTCTACTCGCGGTAGTCCCTTCGGCGGGAGGCCGTCGCGGCATGATGGGACATGAAATAACACGCCGTACGGTGCCTGGCACTTGACAAGTTCGACTCGGGTCACCCAGGCGGCGGCTTCGAAGTGGTCAGATTGACTGGTATCGCAAATTCTCGACAATAACAGCGATAGGTAATTGCGAGCAATGGTTTAAAGGGGAGACAAATCGACTCGAGTGCGAGTAATGTATGTGTTGTGCGTCGCACAAAATAAACTCGAGGTTGGGGGAGGGAACGAGCGTTTCAACTTCTGCGACAGGGTTTAGCATTCTGAATCGCGAGCTGACGAAGCCCAGTCTTTAATACCTGTTCCTTACGATTCCACCGGCTTCAAATTTCAGATGATTCAGAACTTCTCGTATACATTGTCTACGTACTCTACAAATTATCTGTAATATTGCTTTTGTGCTGCTGGAATTTCCTGAATCTCCGACGTGGCAGTGTAGTATTTCAATCAGCCTTGGACACGGAATTAATTTATAGTACACTACGCTTGTGGTCGCACATCCGACGACAATTTTTATAATTTATCCGCACAGTGCTGTCTCAATATTTAAAGACATACATACTGAAGAATTGAGGCCCTTGTCTACTCGCCCAGGTAGGGAATTTCATAATAAAAATTGAATCCATCATTGGCACCCTACTTCCCAATGCGTTCTTCTTCGCTGGACTTTGTTGTACATGTTGTACTGAACACTTGTATTTGTACTCGGCTCTATCGGTTGATCACTACGTAAACTGTATGGGCAAGTTGCACCTTGTTCCCGACCATGAGTGCATTCATTGTCACTGCGAAGTGATTAAGGCAGGTTATGGTACAGTGGCTTCGTCATTAGCAATCCCCTTCTCATAATACAGCCGAGTTCTCCTGTCCATGCCACATCTATTGTCTTTCCCTCCGTCTTGGTGCGCTCCTAATGATATTATCTACCCGCAACAGAAGCTAGAAAGTCAGTATTGAAATGCGGTACGACGTGTTCGGGTCTGGCTTACCTCTGCGGCCTCCGATGCTGACGACACAACCGCCTTCTTCAACTTGTAACTCTCAATGACACCAAGCTCGCGCATATCGGCAATACCGCCGCCAGGTGTCATCAAATCCAAACCGTAAGTAGTCATGCCGTCATAGATGGCGGTTCGCAGCTTGGCCACGAGCTCGCTCGAGTCGTATCCGGCATTGTCTGCGAGGATGGTTGGCAGCTGGCGGAGAGCAACGGAGAAAGATGCAACGGCGATTTGCTTCTTGCCGTCGACCTTAAGGGCTGCTGCGTCGACGGCGCGGGCCATCAGCATCTCTGCGCATCCTCCTCCCAGGGTGGTTCTTGGCTCCTGGACTGTTTGTGACAGAACAGCCAAGGCGTCGTGGAGTGATCTCTCGGCCTCGTCCAAGAGCTGCTCGGTGGCACCTCTCAGGACGATCGTGCAAGCTTGGCCAGCAGCGACACCGGAGAATTTGATTAGCGTATCCTCACCAATGATAACCTCCTCGATAACATCGCACTGTCCAAGTTTAACCAATTCCGGGTGGTCGAAGGTGGAGGCAATGTCGCCACCAGTAACCAGGGCGAGTCTCTCAATTCCGTCGAAATCAGCATGCTCGATCGACATGATTCCAGCATCCGAAAAGAGCTGCTCAGGCCAGTTGTAGATAAGCTGCCTGTTGATGAAGCAGTTGATTCCATGTGCCTTGATCTTCTCCACCTTAGCCCTCATCTTCTCCTTCTCTGCCTTCTCTAGTTCCGCAAGCTGGCTTGTCGATGCAACAGAAACTCTGGCCCCGAAGATCTTGATCTTATCTGTGTCCATAGCAGTGTTTGCAATCATAATCTTTGCTTTCTCCAATCTCTTCGGCTGGTTTACACCAATCTTCTTGTCTAAGATGAAGCCCTCATCAAGATAGGAGTCGCTCAGCTTTCCACCGGCCTTCTTGATGATTTGAATGTGGCTGAGATCGGACGAACCCTTCATACGTAGCACTGCATCGCATGCTAGCTCTGCAAACTGATCTCTGTCTTGGGCCAGGACCTTCGAGCTGAGAGTTGTGCGTGCGATAGCGTACAAGTCCTTCCTGAACGCCTCCTTGTTGCCGCTATGATCAACAGCTGATTTCTCGAGTGCCGCCAAAGCAGCTTGGCTTGCTATCCTGTAACCCTCAATAATCGTCTGGGGATGGATCTTCTTATCGACCAGCTTCTCCGCCTCTCTTAAGAGCTCTGCTGCCAGGACTGTGACCGATGTTGTGCCGTCTCCTACTTCGTCATCTTGAACTTTTGAGATGTTCACAAGTACCTTCGCGGCTGCGTTGTCGAGGGCGATAGACTTCAGGATAGTTGCTCCATCATTCGTGACCATAATCTCGCCGGTAGAGCTACTGCAAGTTAGTAGAAGCCTTCACATGAAATAGCTGTCCACATACGCAGATTGTAAGATCTTGTCCATGCCCTTTGGGCCCAATGTGCTCTTCACCAAATCGCCAACTGCGATAGCTCCCACGAAAGCAGAAAGGCGAGCATTCTCACCCTTCTCTTCCGTCACATCACTCTGGAAAATCTGCGTAGGGTTGAAAGAAGCCATTGTGAATGATTATACCTCTCTTATACCAATTTCAAAGTGTTTATACGCGCGGGCTACTTTTTCAGAACGCGCTTTACGCCTAATCGGCCACCGTAGCGAATTTCAAAAATTAGCGCGAGCCCCACGCACATCGCGATCAAATATTCAGCTAGAATCCTAACATTTGCGACGACAAGGTATACTATTGCAGCACTGAAGCCAACTTGCAGCAAATCCTCCAGCCCATCAAGTAAGCCGATGCCCCCATATATATACTATATTATTCTCGTTGTTCTGGCACTAACCAGGCCCAAAAGCCCCCCAAAAGGATATCGCACAAATAGAATCACGCCCACTATACACTGAGGGGTTCAGCACCGAACAGCGAACCAACCGCAATCATGGCGCCGTCCTTTGATCACCTTTCGGATCCGGAGGAGGAGGAGTACGATGACGAGGAAGAACTCGACTTTTCCGACCTGAGAGAGAAATTCGAGGTTCAGCTTCAGCAGGGACTCGATACCTTCGTCTGTGTGGATGGACTGCCTAAAGTTACCGAGGAGACGAAGCCAAAGCTGATTAAGTTCTTGTTAAGAAAGCTCAACTCCGTTGGAAAGACGAAGGAGGAGTTGGTATTCATGCCAGTTGGCGCGAGTGGACAAACTGATGGGTATGTTGAAATGCCAACTCGTACAGTCTCCCAGGTGCTAACGACGGTAGATTCGCATTCGTCGAATATGCTTCCCCAGCCGAGGCCGCCGCGGCCGTCAAGTCTCTTGATGGCGTCGCTATTGATAAGAAGCACACGATGCGCGTGAACAAACTTACGGATATCGAGCGCTACGGCCGCGAGGGAGCCGTCCCCGAGGATTTCACACCACCGAAAATCGAGCCGTTCGCAGAGAAGGAGCATCTCCGCTCCTGGCTCGCGGATCCTGCTGGACGTGGCCGTGACCAGTTTGTTATGTTCAGGGGTGATAACGTTGGCGTTTTCTGGAACAACGAGAGGGATGCCCCCGAGAACATCGTTGACCGTGCCCACTGGACCGAGACCTTCGTACAGTGGTCGCCGCTAGGCACGTTCTTCACGTCCGTTCACATGCAGGGTGTTCAACTTTGGGGTGGCCCATCCTGGACTCGCATGAAGCGATTCCCCCACCCCTTTGTCAACTTGGTTGACTTCTCCCCTGGAGAGAAGTACCTCACCACCTGGTCCAACAAGCCGATCTCCATTCCGGAGGAAGGTCACCCAGCTCTGTCTATTGACGACGATGGAAAGAACTACGTTATTTGGGATATCGAGACCGGCAAGCCACTTCGTTCCTTCGCAAACCTGGACGTTCCCGGCGCATCGTTAGATGAGGCCGGACAGCCCGTCAAGCGCAAGGTGCAATGGCCAGCTTTCAAGTGGTCCTCGGACGACCAGTACGTCGCCAGGCTAAACCAGGGTACATCCATCTCTGTCTACGAGCTACCAAGGATGGGTCTCCTTGACAAGACTTCGATCAAGATCGATGGTGTTGTCGACTTCGACTGGGCACCTGCAACTGTTACTCGCGATGGTGTTAAGACTTACGAGCAGCTGTTCTGCTACTGGACTCCGGAAATTGGCAGCAACCCTGCCAAGGTTGGACTGATGAGCGTTCCATCGAAAGAGGTTGTCAGGACGTTGAATCTCTTCAGTGTCACGGATGCTAAGCTCCACTGGCAATCAGAGGGTGCATACCTCTGCGTTAAGGTTGACCGTCACTCCAAGTCCAAGAAGTCCCTCGCTACCAGTCTCGAGATTTTCCGCGTGAAGGAGAAGGGTGTCCCGGTTGAGGTCGTTGACTCGATCAAGGACACTGTTATCAACTTCGCTTGGGAGCCAAAGGGTGACAGGTTCGTTGCTATCACCACTGCCGAGGTTGTCGCCGCTACTGCCGTCCCACCAAAGACTTCCGTCTCTTTCTTCTGCCCCGAGAAGGTCAAGGGAGGCGCTGCCGTCGGAAACTTCAAGCACCTTAGGACATACGACAAAAAGAACAGCAACGCCATTTACTGGTCGCCAAAGGGCCGCTTCGTTATTGTCGCGACTGTCCACTCGCAACAAAGCTTCGACCTTGAGTTTTACGATATGGACTTTGACGGCGAGAAGCCAGAGACAGAGAAGGATTTGACTGCCAACCTTATGCTTATGAACACTGCCGACCATTTCGGTGTCACTGACATTGATTGGGATCCTACCGGACGTTATGTTGCCACAAGCGCAAGTGTATGGAAGCACACTGTAAGTTTGGCTATTCTTCACTGATGACATTATACTGACTACCTCGTAGATGGAGAACGGTTACCACTTGTACGACTTCAAGGGCGAGCAATTACGCGAAGAGCCAGTCGAGAAGTTCAAGCAATGGCTCTGGCGGCCCCGCCCAGCATCCCTACTCAACAAGGACGAGCAAAAGGCGATCCGCAAGAACCTCCGCGAGTACAGCAAGGTCTTCGACCAAGAAGACGCTGATCGCGGCGCGTCTGCCGACTTGGCCGTCGTCGAGCACAGGCGTAACCTCCTCGACGAGTGGCTCGCATGGAGAGAGATGGTTGTGGAGGAGGTTTTGGCTGAGCGCAGAGAGCTGGGCTTGCCAGAGGATCCCCTGGAGGGCCTGATCAAGCAGACCGATGAGGGCGAGGACCAGGTTATCGAAGAGATCGTTGAGGAGATCGTCGAGGAGACGGAGGAGATCATTGCTTGAGAACGTCACGACCTCACGCTTATTATTTCCTTCTCTGCATATGTATGGAGTAAGTTAGCTCATGAGATCTGGAGGGTACCCATGATCGGTGTATCCGGGTTGATGGTACACGCTGGCAATAGGGCAAAAGAATAAATGAACGAAAGATTAGTTTTTTAGTTAATGGTTTGGCGGTGTTTCCGTCATATGCAAATCGTGCTGATAAATTGGAGCCAATTGCAAATGATACGTCTAAGTCATTCCTCCATAACTTCGTTTGGGAGCAGATCATTGCTGCCTTCGTTAAATGGTAACCTAATAGTATATGAAGCGGCCTATCACATGTGAACGGGCAAAAAAATGTGAATTATTCCCCCTTGATGTTGGCAGGAGTAGTTCGCTTGTTGCCAGTTTCCACCCCATTGACCTTTGCGTACAACCACTTCAGCAAGATGGTGCTCCCAGTCATCAGCAATGCAGAACTAGCAAAGAGGAGAGCTCTGTGGGTGGTCGACAAAATGTCAAAGAGGGGGTATGGGTAGCTAAAAACATTAGAACCATGACGACGTAACGTATTGTAGCTTTAGCTGGGGGAAAGGGCCGCTTACAAGCCGTTGTGAGTGAAGCAATGCTCGATCCATGCCCAGTAAGTGAATGCCAGGACAGTGCTCAGACCAGCTGCTGGGAGATTCTTGATGGTGTAGGGCGGGCTTAGAAGCAAGAGATCCAAGACCAACAACAAGCTGGGCATGAAATGGAAGCTGATATCCGCGTATGGGTCCAGGTTGATCTCCGGGGGAACTATGAGTTCTCTGTCGATGGCCGAGATAGACCAGTACAGAATCGTGATCAGGACCTCAAGCGGGGCGCACCACAGAGACAGACTGTTCTTGATGGAAAAGAGGCGGTGCGACAGAGTGACGTCGGCCAGAAGACCAAAACCAAAGGTGATGGATGACAAGAGGAGGCCGACAATTGTCAGATATTGGTAGTGCCAGCCATAGGCCTGGTTCATCTGCGTTGGGAAGTTGATCATGTACCAGAAGGATCCGGAGAAGGAGCAGAGACCCAGAGCGTGCAAGAAAAATGATATCGCGCGGGATGGCGACTCGAAGCGCTGGAGCGGATGCTTGCGCGAAGCAGAGACCGGAGACTTTGACTTTGCCATGGTTGCGTTGGTCCAAAAAGCCCGAAGTTTTATTTTATAGTCGTGAAGTTAACGGACCAGGGAGAGACTCCCTGCATATATGTAGTCTGAATTAAATACATACCGCGTAGTACATACTATAACCTGCAAGTGGCACATGTGCAAACGACAGGCGCGCGCCCGAGGTTCTGGGGTGTTAGTGGCGTTCGCTTTTATGGGGTCCCTTGCTGAAAATCGGCCAGGGTCGATTCGGTGTCGGAATAATGTTTCACCGATCCAAAGATGTGAGGCTACAGCTGCAGGACGCGACCCAAACTACTTTCAGCCTCATCAAGTCCTCTGCCAATCCTAACCTCGAGGGGTTAACCATGAGTTCAAACGCGCAGGTCTCGAATAAGAGGCCGTACGATGAGTCGAATGCTGTGAATGACTCTCCGAAAGGAGGGCCTGCCGACGCCGAGGAAGATGGTGAGCTTCAGTGTGACATACAATGCCTACAATAGCTAACATTGTGCAGAATCTTCGGACGATGACATGGGGCCCCAATTGCCCTCGGCGGCACCTAAGAAGAAGAGACGGGTTCTCCCCTATGAAAAGCTCTACGTCGCTGCGCTGCCAACGTCAGCACGGTACTCGAAGTCCCTCATGCACAAGGAGCAGGTAGCCTTCGTTACGATGACACCACTCACCGATTTCCTGATCACCAGCTCCATCGACGGCTACGTTAAGTTCTGGAAGAAAGGCAATGAAGGCGTTGAGTTTGTGAAAGAGTTTCGCGCGCACAATGGCGAGATTAAAAGCGTGTCAGTAAGCGCAGATGGCAGGAGTTTCGCAACAGCTGGCGCGGACAAGACCATTAAAATATTCGATGTCATCACATTCGATCTATTGACTATGCTCTCTGTGGAGTTTACGCCAAAATGTGTCTGCTGGGTCCATCAGCGCGGCGCCTCGTTACCTCTGCTAGCCGTATCAGACGAGGTTAACCACTCCATACGAATATACGACGGAAGGGGCGACAACCTGGAGCCGATCCATACGCTCAAAGGGCTTCATAAAAGCGTTATTTTACTAATGGCATTTAACAATGTTTACAACTGCGTTGTATCGGCAGATGAGAGTGGCATGCTCGAGTACTGGAGACCCGGCGGCAACTATGAGAAGCCTGACAACGTCTTCGAATACAAGAGCTCCACGGACCTCTTTGAATTTAAGAAATCAAAGTCTGTACCGGCTTCCATTACAGTCTCTCCCATCGGTTCACAATTTGCAACAATGTCATTTCCGGACCGCAAGATTCGAGTTTTCGATTTTCCGACGGGAAAGCTACACCGAACGTATGATGAATCGATACAGACTATCGAAGAGATGCAGCAAGCCGGTACTGCCTTGCAAAAACTAGAAGATGTCGAGTTCAACCGGAGGCTTGCTACAGAAAGAGAGATCAATACTCCGTTATTAAGAAACAAGGTCAACGTGGTCTTTGATGAGAGCGGCCATTTCATACTGTACGGGTCGATACTTGGCACCAAGGTCATCAATACCTACACGAATCGCGTGGTCAAGGTATATGGCCAGGATGAGAACTTTAGAGCGTTGAACCTGGCAACGTACCAAGGACAACCCCAGAAGAAAGGCGTTACTACCATCGCGATGGCCGCTTCCAACAATCCGCTGCTGCAAGAATCAGAAGTTCGGGATCCCATACTCATCGAGACCGGCGTCGGGAAGCAGAGGTTCTACATGTTTAGCAATGACGAAGAGATATCCAAATCTGAACGAGATGTTCAGAATGAGAAGCCAACAAATCTCAATGCGCTGAAGGCAGTCGAAAAGAAAGTGGCAGAGACCGGAACGAGTGCGGTTATTCATACTACATATGGCGATATCCACGTGCGACTCTTCCCAGACGCCGCACCTAAAGCTGTGGAGAACTTCGTTACACATTCAAAGCGCGGCTACTACAACAACACTATCTTCCACAGAGTCATACGCCGCTTCATGATCCAGTGCGGAGATCCACTTGGTGATGGAACCGGGGGTGAGAGTATCTGGGGAAAGGAATTCGAGGACGAGTTCAGCACTTTGAGGCATGACAAGCCCTATACCTTGAGCATGGCAAATGCTGGGCCCAATACAAACGGAAGCCAGTTCTTCATCACGACTGAAAAGACTGTAAGTGAAGATCCAAATCGTACTCTGCATCGCAAAACTAACACCTGAGTAGCCATGGTTAGATAACAAGCACACGATTTTTGGGAGAGCTATCCAGGGCTTGGATGTTATTCACAAGATCGAAAACACAAAAGTGCACAAAGAAAAGCCCGAGGAGGACATCAAGATTATTAACATCTCGATAACATAGGCATTCCTACGAGGACGCGTAGAACTGTAGCCTTCGTAAATATTGAAATATGATACCCCTTGCTCAAATCGGTCGTTTGCTGTAAAACCACGAGTCTGAAATCTCCTCGCCTTTTTTCTCAGGATCTTATCCTCCGATAAGCTGGCGCTGCCCCGCCACCCAAGTTTTGAACTAACTTTGGCACCATGGACTGGACCTGGACTGCTGACAAGCCGCTCACTGATATGATTTATGATACGACTATTGTTTTCGGGAGAGCCATTCGAATGCTAAATATGATGGCGGCGCGGTAGCTCAGAGCCAATTTACAGGCGGACAAAAGCTACTACAGCCAAGTGGATACTAGGCGCCAACTAGTCCAGATGCCCATACTTTCCTATAGCACAAGGCTCTGACACCACCTCATATTCGCACACTTCCTCGCCTCACCCTCAAGGCTAGCTCTTTATGCCACGCCCAAAGAAGCCTGGGGCGCCAGAGCCCAAGAAGCGCAGCAGAAATGGTTGCTGGTACGTCCCATTCGTTGTTTCGTGCTGAGTCAGCGAGGTTGCGCGCGTCACCTTTTAAATGCAAGTGATGGCCACTGATCGTCTCTACCCAGGCCCTGCAAAGCTCGAAAGGTTAAGTGCGACGAGGCGCACCCGACGTGTCTCAGTTGCCAGCGACAGAATGAGGTGTGCGACTATAGCGTGCGGTTGAACTGGAATGGGAGAGGGAAGCGGAAGGCTGAGCCGACAGGCGGGAGACAGACGATTTTTCATGTTAATACACTCTCTGCTGATTTTGACGTCTCCCCGAAAGAGGCCGTAAAAGTCGAGGCGTCTATCTCTCCGCCGAACGGAACACATTATGGCACACGACCATCAAGCCGAGAGCATGTTGCAGACCAGGCACCGACGACTACCGACGACTACCGGCACACTGAGAAGCATTCGACAACTACCATCCCAAAGCTGGCAACATGGAGTATGGAACCGCCAAGTTTGGACTCTATCAAGGAGCCATCAACAGACAACATATCCATAGATCCCGTATTAACAGGTCAGGATACTCAACAACCTTGCGCGTCTCCGCCTTTCCAATATGCGTCTCTAAACTCGTTATATACCCAGCCATTCGAGCAGAGCTACGAGAGATATCGTGATGGGCATGATATAAAATCACCTTCAGAATCGGGTATGGAAAGTCCAACGGGCAGCTCATTTGTGGATTTTGCAGGCGATACACGGTCCTCGAAACGACTCCGTTATGGGCCCTCCAGTAGTGAAATCCACTCTCGGTTTACAGAGATGGCGCTTCCCATCCCCTTGCCGTCTCGTTATAATACCGAAATTCATTTTAGCCAGTCCTTTGCCCCAATGTCAACATCGTCTCAAAGTGACGATGGGCAGAGAAGCCTCTCCGTTAAGCTTGCGCCACTCACATCCAACGGTAGTCATATGTCGGAATGGCGAAGACTTTCCATTGACTCTCTGCTCTCTGGCGCTCCTGGAATGTCAAATGCCATGGGCACTGCTGGCTCCACTAGTAGAGAGCAAACTCCTCTCCCATATGGAGATCCGCGCGATGACATTATCACTTTGGGGGTTGATAAGGGGCTAAGGGATTTGGACATTGGGAAGAACGATGATGCAAATGCCATTTCGAAAGAATATTCCAGTCTTGATTTTAGTTTTGGCCAGCAAACGAAAGTGGCAACCTTCGAAAAGGGCGGTTATTACGAAAGGTAAACCTCCATGTCCATGCCAAAGCGCAAAACTAATGCTATTAGTCCGGTCTGGGTCAAAATTCCTCGATCATTCCACCCTTTGCCGCCGATACTACAAGAGAACCCAATGAACATCCTTTATTTCCACCATTTTATTTCACATACTGCGACGTGGGTACTACTACGCCCACATTTGGAATCAAGCTAATTTGTTAGACTTCTCGTCCCTCACCATTGTAGCTCAAATCCTTTCCAAAAGATTTTGCCACAGATAGCACTGCAGTGCAGTCATTTGATGAAGTTGGTACTGGCATACTCTGCATCTCACCGGGCTCGGCTCCTGAATCACCGAGAACCAATAACAAGAATTTCTCTATGGGTCCAGGGGTTCTTTTCCTATCTTCGCGACGCCATCGACGACCCCAAGAAAATAGTTACTGACTCCTGTCTTGCGGGGGCCATAATGTTGGCATCTCTTGAGATCATATGCCCCAAGGCCTTCGGGGTCGAGATTCCATGGCAGGAACATCTAACTGTAGCAAGGCAGCTGATTGTTGCCCGAGGAGAAGCGAACCCCAACAGTGAAATTTCAGCTACCTTTGGCTTTCTATTAAGGTGGTTTGCCTACCTCGGCGTCCTGGGTAGGCTCACTGGCGGACACAAAAACTTCCTATCCATAACAGAGGGTCTGGTAGCTTATGACAGTGAAGGAGAGCATGGTCTTCAGATCGTCTGTCTTCTTGGGTTTACAAGCCGATGCGCATCCATTTTATCCAAGATTGCAGATCTTGCTGCACTGTGCGCTCCTGGGCGTTTCGACGATACCTGCAACGAGCGGCTTGGGTGGCAACCAACAGATGATGTCAGGCAACAAGCCGAACAGCTACTCGAAGATCTCGAACACGCAAGGACTAGCTCTTTGATTCAACATTGCCCGCATCTACACTCGTCAGAAGAAGAGGCATATCAGTGGGATAGCCGCGAAATGGCTGCCACAAATGAGGCATATCACTGGGCTGGCCTTATTCATCTGCACCGTCGGGTTTTGGGCAAACCATCGACCGACAAAGACGTCCAAACCGCAGTGCGGGAGATTGTTAACCTTCTTCACAGGGTAAGAAAGGCGTCTGCAGCAGAAGCATGTCTACTTTTCCCCATGTTTAGTGCTGGGTGCGATGCACAAGACGCGGAGGAACGGAGCTTTATAATGGAGAGGATGAGAAATGTCGAAGGCATTGGGATGAGCCAGGTAAGATTGACTACCATTTGGTAATAGTAGCAATTACTAAACTCCTTGGAAGGTTAGAAAGGCACGGAACCTGATTCAAAACGTTTGGGATACTGGAAAGCCCTGGGAAATGCTTGCAAGTGGCGAATTTGTAGGCTGAAGCCTTCAGGGATGTCGCACGACTACCGCAATCTGGCTAGGACAGACTCTAGTACAAGGCAAAAAGCCTACCAAGCACGTCGCTTTTTTCGATGGACATCGTTCCATTGCCAACTTGACGCGGTGAGGCACGCATTTGTTGTCAATATGCTACAGTGTCCAAGAGAAAACCAATCGCCTGAATCCGCTAGTGCTGGGCATCACGTTAAAAGGCACCAATACGTCCAGAACTCAATACTGTCATCAGGTAGGCAGACACAAGAAAGATGGCATGTTTGCGAGCAATCGCGGATGAGCCATCCGGACGATGGGGGCGCGTCGAAACGCATAGAGCCGATCTCTCGATAGCCGGCTGTTGAGAAGTCGTGCGCTGGATACTTACCACCACCTGAACGCTGCCGCGCGGTTTCATGGTGCGAGGTTCGGCATTCAGTCTCTTCGCCGCGATGCGCTTGAAACCTGTCGGTACCATCTAAACGGGGTCCTTTGTGAAGGAGAAGCGCGATATGGAGTGTTGCTTAATGCGATATACTGCATCTAGCAATACTCCGCTCCGAAGCCACCATCTCGGACTCGGCCGAGGAGGACCCATCTAGTATTTCGTCGGCTATCTCTGCGTGGAACTAGTATGAACACGCTACTGTATCGATATACTTCAACGTTTGGTTTGGAATGCGCACGTTGTATGCGTTGGTAGTTGGGCTGGTCGCGTCTCCCACGGGTATTTATTACTCTGGTGCTACCACTGCTGATCACCCTGCTTGGCACATGGGTTTCTGGATAAGTCAATTTAGGGTTTCTGAGTTCGATATAGAGAGTGTGGGCCTCATCTTGGGATATCTCAGTCTTTGGATATTGTAGTGACGCTGGTGTTCCGTCCTGTACCTGCCCTCCATAGTAGACGGGGCATTCATCATTAAGGCGGAGAGATAGCAAAACCTCGCTGAGTAATTCTGGGGTGGTTGCGGGCATTCATAGATCTATAAACTTGGTCCTTCCCATTTAATATATCTCCCTTGGATATCGCTGTGCATGTGGTGTAGTTATGTTTTACCTTTGTGTGTTTTGACTGGCCATGGATAAGAATATGGGCCTTGGAGGCCCCTGACTGGGTCTGTTTTGTTCATATAAACCTTCGTTTTGTATGTGATTTTCGTGGAGGCTGTAGAAGAATCTATTGTTGTATATAAAGGCATATGAACTCCTATTTTGAGTATGGTGAACTCTGTGCCGTAGTATTTCACATAACATCTCATCGTCTGCGGTGGCTGGCACGAAGCTCCCCCCCATTTCCTCTTTCAGCGACAGACACTCACCTTAACGTACACAACTTCCAATAATTACAAGGAGCTAGCGATTGTTTGCAGTGTTTGCCCGCCCTTCCATTTCGCTTCCGTCCAATGGCGTGAAGCCATGACAGTCGCGCTTAAAGTGAATATCAGCGCGCTTAACGATTTCGAAATCACCCACCTGGGTATAAATACCCCTTCTCCCCCCCATATTCTTGTTCTTCTTCCTCCTTTCTTGTTTTTCATTTCCTTTCATTTCTTTTACTCCTGCACCAAGCGGTGTATTGTCGAAACTTCTATCCTCTTTTCTTACACATACCTTGCCTTGGTCTTATCCTTCATTGGACTTCGATCTTGGTTTGTGTATTGTACCACAGTTCTTCTTCCTTATTTTACATAGCTTGCCTTGGTCTTATTCTTCATTGGCTTTGATCTTAGTTCGTGTATTTACACTAGATCTTCTTCTACAGCTCCTCTTTCACAGCTCCTCTTTCACAGCTCCTCTTTCACAGCTCCTCTTTCACAGCTCCTCTTTCACAGTTCCTCTCCACAGCTCTTTTTCACAGTTCTTCTTTCCACAGTTCTTCTTCCACAGCTCTTCCAATCTTTTCTTTGCCATTGTTTTTGCTGCATACTTTTGCTGCATACAAATCGAACTGTTCAGATGATGATAATACTACTACTTGTTCCCAACATCATCCATTAGGATTGATTTGAGGTTCCCTGGATATTTGCTGATGAGCAGTTTTATTTATTTATTTCAGCAATCTTTTCAGCATTTACCTTCTCTTTGTTTTTCTTTTTGTTCTATATAAATTGAACTGTTCAGATGATGTTTCCATCCCGTTACCCAATCCCACTATCATCCACTTGGATTGATTTGAGGACAGCGGAAGCATTTACTGATGAACAGTTTGATTTATTTACTTCTATCTTTTCGCATTTATTTTTATTTATTTTGTTTTTGTTTATATATAACTGTTCAGATGATGTTTCCATCCCGTTACCCAATCCCAATATCATCCACTTGGATTGATTTGAGGACAGTGGAAGCATTTACTGATGAACAGTTTGATTTATTTACTTCTATCTTTTCGCATTTTTTTTGGTTTATATAACTGTTCAGATGATGATAAAGCTTTGAACTCCAGATCGTCCTTGGACTGGTCACAGTTTGGGTCGTTGAGGGTCCCAGTCTTGAAATTATTCTGCGAGTCTCAAACAATCGTCGACCGCAGATAAGAAACTGACTTCAAATAACAGCATTACTCGATACCCAAACCTCCAACCAATTCCAACATACACTTTATTCCATATTTTTTCTCGTTTGTTTGTTTCGCAGCGTGGATCTAGCTCAAGTCGCAACAAAACAGAGTCAAAGGGGGAATAACCCACCCAACTCAAGCTGAGATTTGTTGTTCGAAACGATGAAAAGAGCATATAACTTGAGATCTGGCTATCAAATTAGTCGAATTGATGACAGTAAAGTTTATGGTACTGATCGAACATATTTCAACGCAAAATCAATCAATACAACCTATCAATGTCTTTAAAAAGTTATTTGAAATATATGTGCTGTAAATACATGATATATGGTTCTATATGCGAAGGAAGACACCACGCACGCTATGAACTCCTGGTAATCTCGTGAAGCTTTACAACTTGGACTTGACCTTCTTCTCCTCTGCCTCGGCCTGCTGCTTCAGGACCCTCCGCAAGATCTTGCCGCTCGCGGTCTTAGGTATCACATCAACGAATCTAACACCTCCTCTCAAGCGCTTGTGGCCAGCTACCTTACTGGACAGCCAATCCGCAATATTCTTGCCCGTCTCCGGTGTACCGGGAACACCAGCCTTGGGCACGACGTATGCGCGAGGGACCTCGGTTGCCTGGTCTTCATTGTAGATGCCAAGAACAGCAACATCGTCGATATCCGGGTGCGAAAGCAGAAGACCCTCTAGTTCTGCGGGAGGAACTTGGAATCCCTTATATTTGATGAGTTCCTTCACGCGGTCTGTGATATAGAAGTTTCCCTTCTTGTCTTGGAACCCGACGTCACCGGTCTTGAAATAACCGTCGTCGGTGAGCGCGTTCTTCGTGCCTTCAGGGTTCTTCCAGTAACCCAAGAACACATTAGGTCCCTTGATCCATAGCTCACCAGTCTCCCCGACTTCAAGTTCTTTCTCCTCGGCCGACATGAACTTCGCGGTCTGGTTGGGCAGAAGGCGTCCGACTGAGCCCATTGCCGTTTGCCAGTCCTCCCAGCGCTGCGAGTGAGTCGTGGGAGATGTCTCGGACAGGCCATATCCCTGCTTGACCTTGATGTTGCGTTTGGCATACAATGCGTTGACAATTTCCCGCGTGAGGGGTGCTGCACCCGAGTTTATCATTCTGATTGTGCTGAGGTCGTACTTGTCCACCACTGGGTTCTTGGCAAGCTGAAGAACCACTGGTGGTACGGCATAGGCGAAGGTAATTTTATTCTCCTGGATGATGGAGCAGAATCTCTCGAGGTCAAATTTCGCCATAACATATGTGGTGAGGCCTCTGAAGAATGCGTAATGAACAAGGCAGGTAAGGCCTGTTGAATATATTAGTGGTTGTTGGGCGAGAAGGTAGAAAGGATGCCATACCATAAATGTGGAAAAATGGAAGGAAAGAAAGGAGTTTGTCGCCTTTGCCATCAGGTCCACCATCAGAACTCAAATTATTGCCTTCCCCTACAGCATGCATGAATAAGTTAGACACAATGTTGCGGTGTGACAGCATGACACCCTTTGGGTGGCCAGTGGTGCCACTGCTATAGACTAAGAAGGCAAGGTCCTTTTCGGGGTTCACTCGTGTTCTGACATATCTTGTTGCCCCCGAGAGGTTCCGAATGCTAGTGAAATGCTTGAATCTGTCATCCCTCTCGTCTCCGAGGATAATGATCCTCTTCTCCGAAAGGCCAACAGATTTGGCGGCAGCTCGGGCATCCGCCAGGAATGCTTTCTGTGTCACAAGTGCTTTGGCACCGCAATCTTTAAGCTGGAAAGCCAATTCTGCGGGAGTGTACGCTGGGTTGGCAGGAGAGATCACCCCTCCGGCCCAGTGGGTTCCCCATATCACCGCTGGTGTGTCAATGCTGTTGGGTGTATAGAGGGCAAGGACATCGCCCTTCTTCCAGTCCCATTGAGCCTTGAGACCCTTGCCAAAGTCAATCGCAGCCTTCTTTGTCTCTGCGAAAGTATACGACCGGTTCGTCTCGGGATCGACGTAGATTACTGTAGGCAGAATTAGAGTTCTGACACGGCCGTGTTATCTTGGGCCAAGGCTCACCTTTGTTATCAGAAAACGGCCTATCTTTCGTCTCAAATAATAGGCCCCAGACATCGACAGCTGGCACATCAATATCTGGGAATCTATTGGGGTTAGAGGAAAATCGCTGTGTCATTTTGGATGAGCACGCCTCACCTAGATTTGGTAACCATTATTATGGGGAGGGGGATAGGGCTGGGCTTGGTATCAACTGAGAAGAATTGGGCAGAATTGAGAAAAACAATAATAACGGTGAAGAGATAAATGTCAAGATCTGGAGCCCATGGAATATATATGTTGAGGATGTAGGTAACACTACGGAGTACAACTGAGGGCTATGCCACTTGCCACATCGAGTAACTTGGACCTGACATTCACAGGGGAATGCGGGGAAGTATGGGGATTTTCGGGCAATCGGGATTTTCGGGCAATGGGCGCGCTAAACGGTGCTTAGGTAAGGAATTCGCTGACCAGGCCGAGGCACAGCAGATCAAAGCCGAGTGGTGTCAAGGGACGCTACGGCAGAGTAAGATTGATAGGTCTATACCAAGGTCCATTTTACCATCCACTTGCCGATATGGCTGCTCTTCGTTGTCAAAACGCACTGCGGTATACCGTCTGTGGCGCCCCGCCCTATTTGCGCGCCTCTCAGCGAAGATGGGCGCAGGTCCACGACATCCGCTTCCTCGTCACTCGCGCACAGCCAGACAGGGTTCTGGAGAAGTATAAGGAGAAGCTGGCGAAGAAGGCGAAATCGTAAGTCGATGTTCTCTGGTCGGCCCTTGGCGTGAACTTTAGCTGACAAGGTTGGTTCTTGTTAGGGAAGGATTGAGCGATGTCAATGAGTTGAAAGAAGCGTACAAGGATAAAATCACAGAGCTGAAGAAGAAACCTGCTACTCCGTCTGGCACTATAGATGGACGCCCACCGCCAGCTCCTGAAGCAATAAACGAAGCTGCAGCCAAGTCGCCATTCCCCCCCCCGCCACCGCCACCACAAGTTCCTTCTTCAAAGTCCAGCACGCCTGGTGTACGGACACTATCATCATACCTGGACGTCGCCAAGACGAGAGAGCTTCCTCACAAGGAAATCGAAACCATATGGCGCCTCCGACACGCCTCAAACCCTCAGTCACTCTGTGCTACCGTGCCGCTAGAGACATACAAGACCATAGAAGCATCTGCAAAGAAGTTTCCCCACTTCGTCCTACCATTGCCCCGCGAAGGACAGGGCGCAGAGATCCATCTGCTACAGTGGACGTTCCCAGCGCCTGATACTGTCACGGTTCTCTTCACCCACCTCGCAGAGTTCAAGTTGAGAGGCGAATTTGCACAGCCGCATACAACTATTACCCACCACTTGGAATTGGCTGCGGAGAAAGAGGTGGTTCTGGTCCAAGGTCAGGTGATTGAGAACAGAGGAGTCACTGTCGACGAGGCCAAATTTCTGTTGATGTGCCTGCAGAAATTTTACGGATTTGGAAGCGAGAGTGCTGACCGTAAGAGGCTACTGGAGCTGTTTGGAAAAGGAGATCCAGCCTTTAAGGTTGAGGATCTGGTTGAGGAGACTGAAAAGATATTTTAAACTAGTGACGAGATATACCGGTGCATTTCTGGCATTGCTGAGGTGTATCATTGTACAACACGCAGGAAGTGTAGGATTAGACAAAGATAGTGTATATGAACTGTTGAATAGAGATTAGGGATATATTTTCTGCGGTTGTAAATATCTGTCGAGGTAAGGGGTTTTGGTTTTGGCTATCAGACCCAGGAAACGACTGTGGACTCCCAACCACCGCTGTTCATCCCACGTGAAAATGATAATACTGACCAGCAAAGCAAGGAGGTATATGTCATATGGTATTGACAAGTGCGGAGAAACTATCAAGAAACTCGCCACACAACTCAAGCAAACATGCACAGCTGTATTTTGGACAAGTGGATGATCAACCTTGGCACGTATTAATTCCAACAGCGGTCTTAGCAACAGTCCTCTCCTTCCCCAAGAGCCCCGAAAAAAATATACAGGACAATCCAAACGCCCAGCATGAACAGACGTACTTGAGATGCACAAAACCAAGCCGGGTACTGTCAACTCCGAGACCAGCGGATGCCCCAGCTCTCAATCCACAGCGCTCTCTGGTTATGCCTCCGCCTCCCCGATAAAGTCCTCAAAGCTTCCCCACACGGTGAACTTTGCAGTAAAATGCGAGAACAGCAGCCTCATGAGCTCATTCGGGTTCTTCATTTGCCTATACGACCCTCGCTTAGACGGTTCGATAGTGAGCAGCATCCATCCCAGCGCAATCTTCGAGGAGCGATCATAGTCTCGCGGGGGTAGATCGCGCTCCTTGAGAGTTTCCACGCTGAGGGCGACGGTGTCCCAGGCGTCAGGATCGGTGATTAAGAGGATGCCCTGCAGCTGGCTCCGCCACTCTTCGAAGTTGTCGGGGTTCTTGAGCTTGTAGATCGAGTATTGCGGGGGTATTGGGGACATCGTTTGGTGTTTGGTTACGCGTGCCTGTTCTTAATTAGAGGGCTTTTGGATAGGGATCCCTTGGTACATACTGGTTTGGGGGCCCTCGGAGGGGGAAAAGGCTTCTGTAGCTTCAAGTCAAGATAGACCGCCTAGTCGTTTTGCTCCAAATGATTGATCTGTTGGCTGCGTGAGGCGGATATGACGCATGGGATTGTGAATTAGAGAAAGTGCCAAAGGTAGGATTGTATCATATATTTATGCCGCTCTTGCGTGAAGGAGGAAGGATAATGGCGGCGTTGAAAGAATGAGAGGGGCTCCCAAAGAGGACATGAGGTTGAAGAGAGTATAGAATTATCGAGGCGGGCTTCACAAGCGTCGAAGGCAGTGCTTGTGAAGGAGAGTAATTATTCGCGCTTCACAGCTCTGGGTGAGATTATCGAGTGTTTATCCGTGAGTTGTCTCCAGAAACGGCAGGAAGCACCATCCGTACCTGCCATTTCAGCCCAAATTTGGTAGCGTTAATCTCATCTATATCGTGCATCTTGCCGTCGCTCACTCAAAATAATAATAATTTTGGTCAATACCATTCACAATCCGTGTAGTGGAGACGCTGAGTTCAAACCCTATGGAAAGAGGTTGGTGCCAGCATACTGTTCTCAGATGTGACACCGCGTCTGGTGCGTTGCTGAACCTCGACCAGCATCAAGTCAGACCTTCCATCCCTTGTCGCACGTCAGTCTCCATACTGATAACTCGTACATAGTATACGGAGTAGAGCAACAGGTAAACTCATAAAGCGAGTCGGCACTTAGCCCACCCGGATTTTGTTTGAGAGCTGAGAAACTCATATTTAATCCTGGTCTTTTTGTTTTTTATCTAGCTCCCCTCGGATTTAAATCCTATTGGCAGATATAATTATAAGGGGTCTATTTGGAGGCTTGCCAGACATTCGAGCATTGATTGCTATCCGGCTCAACGCACCCCGCAAGACTATTACACAAGAGCACCGTCTGATAAACTTCATATGGCATCCGCCGAGACATCATAATCCTTCGCTTGGGTTCTCTGCGAAATACGGGATAGCAAATCTTCGCAGAGTTCGTAAAGCAAGACAACACGCGGGATTTGTCTGTGTTCGGCTTAGACACCAACCCACAAGCTGCATGAGTAAGGGTTCGGGGAACAAGTCAACTGCCAAGTCAAGCGTATACGAAGTACGATGCGTGATAGGGAGCTAGAGCAGGGGCAGCATCTATTTTGGATTATCAACTGTGATACCAGCGCGGCGATCAACTGTTTGCACTTGGTTGCTCTGTCTTAGCGGCGCTCGGGAAGCTCGCCTCGGGCTGGATCTAGGGGTTGGTGGCTTTCGGGGCACGGGGGTATCAGCCTTCTCCGTGCCCCTCCACAAATCCCAACTCTTCATACAGTTCGTTCCAAGCAGCGTTACTCCACGTACAAAGTAACTGATCGTCATATTTTCGAGGTATACTTAAAGTTTTTGTCCGTGTTGCTGGCACGGCGATCTTTTCTTGGCGCGCGATTGCTGGAACCGAGCTCGTCGGATACCCGCGCCTTGAGGATCCGAGCATTCGCCATATTCCCCTTACTCTATCTACGTATGCAGAAGACCAGTTTTGGATATCTGTCTTACTTCAACAGCGTCGAAGGTGCTCTCCGTGATGTCACGTAGTTTGGCAGAATCGTCTTGGCATGGAATTGCTGCAACCGAGCTCCATCACGCCTCTCAGTTATACTCCAAATTCAACGAGCCGTTCGGGAGCCTCACCAACGTCCCCAGCCTTCTCGGAATGTGGATGAGGCTAACAGTTTATTTTAGGTCTCTACGCTAAGATGGTTGCTTTGGGTGATGGAGACGGGCCCTACTCCTGAAATGGCCCGTCCCGTTGTCCCCATCCCCGTTCCTCTCATAGTATGACTGCAGGCTTTATGACATGGCTATGAGATGCATCTATTTCTTGATGACAAAGTTGGTGACTTATTTTGCAGTGGCTGTCAGCCTCGACGCTAAGTCGAGGTTTGTCAATCGGTTAAATCGATCGCGTGCATCCTCAGGAGTGCACCGCTCAGCTTGTGCACTTTCGAATATGTCTCCAGGTCCCAACTGAGATGCAAGGGCCTCGATCGACGGAACTATTGATTGATGGTGAGCACCAAGCCGTGACATATCCATATCCTTGCGTCATTGATTATCTTTCTGCTTCAAGTCGGATGAGAATAGATGAATAGGGGAAGAGTCCATAGTCTATATTTCGTATCTGAATTACTATAAAGCCATTGTCTTTCCCTCCTCATCCGTTCATCAACCAGCCATCCAGACATTAGCATCTTCTCATCTGCCTTCCAGCCTCCAACTTTTATATACTCAAACTTTTGCCTCCTTTCAGCCAAGCTACTATCCAACATGCGTTTCTCAGTCACCGCCACCGCGCTCTTCGCTCTCGTTGCAGCAACCCCGTCGGCCGCCAACCAATGGACCAGCCAACTCACCAAGGACCTTCAAGGCCTGGCTTTGTCCACAAGGTCCATCTGGGGACCTACTGGAACTATCACCCGCGTTGATGGCCCTCTATTCGCGGATAACTTGGGCAACTTCCCTGTGGGTTTTTAGTCATCGTCCGTATAGAACAGTTTCTCATTCGGATTTATAGAAAATCGTCGGTGGATTGAAGGCCATTGTCAAGAAGGTCAACGAAGTGACCGCCAGCCTTCCCCATGCCTTTCCAGGTGTCGAGTTGAAGGACTTGTACCCAATCGATTGGGCATATGATGATGTAAGTCCAACCCACCCATAAGGAGTACCGTGCCTCTCGGATAGAAACTAACGCCCCATAGTTCCTCGTCGACCAGCAAATCCTCATGAATGTCCTGAACCTCAAGTCGCATAAGTTCAGCGACAGCATTCCTATCAAGGCTGATCCTCTCATCGCGGTCCTCAACGAGCTCGAACCCGCCATTAACGTAAGATTCCCCCTCCAAGACCACACGCTCATATGACTGACTATTTGCATAGTGCTTTGCTGATGCCGCCAAACTCCTGTTCCTACCAGAGCCCCACCTGCTGGAGAATAAGCGTAACACCCTCAGCAAGACAATCAAGGCCGTGGTTAGCAACTACAGCCCAAAGGCCCCTAAGGTCATGCGCACTTTCACCGCTTAGAGTGCCCAAGGGTAACTCTTTGTGGTGGCCAAGGCCAAATGCGGGGAGAAAAAGGAGTGTCGTGGGGAATATTTGTATTCGAAGATGGCGGGTTTGTAATTATTACGAGCTAGTTTGAGATTCATAAATGACAGTGAATTTATCATTCTTTACATGATTAGCATCTTGATTGGCGGTTTTCTGGCCTCGTTATCACTAGACGATTCGGCGCGAGCAGGTCCGAACTGTAAACACTTAACACTGGACAATCCGAAGGGAGCAGCCGCCTCAAACTATAAACACTTACCTCTGGACGATCCGGCACAAGTAGCCTGTCGCGTGTTTACTATATTCCCCCACAGATCATCTGCCGCCGAGCACTCTAAATCCGGGCAATTTAATTATGAAACTTCGGAAAATACACAGCATTTCGCACCAATAATTTCATCGACCCTATAGTATGGCAGTCACACGGCACTATCAATTTAATCGGCCAACTCTATTATATAGGGTTGACATTTCTCATTCAAATGCAGCAAGACAATCATCATGAAGATTGCAACCATCCTCGGTTTGGCCGGCACTGCCGCAGCGCACGGTTACGTTTCTAGCATCGTAGCAGACGGCGTCACCACTTCAGGTTGGCTTATCTCCTACTGGTATGACTTAGTGAACGGTATTCCCATTCCCCAGACCCCAGGATGGTACGAAGAGGCGTTGGACCTTGGATTCGTCCCCTCCCAATGAATACCAGTATGTCTGTTGTGGCAAAACCAAGTCCAGACTAACAAAAGCAGAGACCCCAACATCGCCTGCCACAAGAATGCAGTCAGAACGTCTCGGCGACGGTTGCTGCGGGCGGATCCGTCAAGTTCCAGTGGACTGCGCGGCCGCACAACACCGGCCCTGTCTTGACCTAGGTTGCCAAATGCAGCGGAGACTGCAAAAATGCGGACAAGACCGCGCTCAAGTTTGTCAAGATTGATGAGTCTGGAATTGACCTCAGGTCTGGGCTGCTGGTAAGCTGATAGCTGACGGCAATGCGTGGATTACTAAGTGCCAAATACTCTTGCTCCAGGTATGCCTGTCTCTTCTTTAGTCAGCCCCTTTTCGCCGGCCTCTGCTAACAATAACAGGCCATTATGTCTCCCGCCACGAAATTATCGCGTGCCACAGTTGCACTTCGCTTAATGGCGCGCAAAACTATCCGTTCTGCTTGAACATTGACGTGACGGGTTCTGGCACAGCAAACCCGGTGGGAACTGTTGTCTCCAGCCTTTACGGCAAGAATGACCCAGGTATTTTATTCGACCCGTATGTCACGATGACGAGTTATAAAATCCCCGGGCCTGCTATGTGGACTGGGCAGTTCTACCCAACTCGACAATTCCTATGTCTGCACTTGTGGATGGAGAAGTTCTGTTTCGTTGACGGATGTATATATTCATGCACATACTATATGTATACTCGAGAGAGAATGCACATACCAACTTCTATTCCACCTCGTACCAAAACTTTAGTCCATGCAGATCACGTAGACTCTTCAGTGCCTCCGGCGTCTGATCTGGCCAGTTTTCTCCAATCACCTTCAGCACCTCCTCAAACATAATCTTATACCCCGCGGGCGTTATATGGAGGCCTGACAGATTAGCATCGCCACTTAGAACTTAGAATAAGACAACAAGCGTACCGTCATCTAAAAATGATTTCAAAACATCACTGAAGCCCGCAGCAATTGACCCCCCCGTCCTCATGGTACCCTCCAACCCACCCAGCCTTTGCCACGAAGACACTCCAGAGATCGACAACTGGCGTCCCCGTTTCTTTTCCCACCTTCGTCACGGCATCTGCGTAAAGCGCAGTGTTACGGTTGTATCTCTTCACCTCCGTATACCCATTCTTCACGTCTTCTCTGGCAATGAACGTCTCCTCGATCGGCGGAGGCCCTATGAGAATTATTCTCGGCGGGGGATCGTGCGCAGCAATTAGGGGATGCGAGATCATATCTCTAAGGTTCTGAGTAAAGTCTGGGATAGACACATACTGCGTGTCCACGAGAGGTGGGCCAAGATTAGAGTCATTGGCGCCAAAGAAGGTGGTGAGGAACCGGACGCGGGCTTGGGAAGGGGCCGGCAGGATGGCAGGTAGAATTTCCACGGCGTTATTTGTGTTGTAGCCGCTACGAGAGGGTGTCAGTCAAAGTCATTTTTGTTTGGAATGGAATATAGGTTACCCAAACCCACGATTTATCACATCTAGCTTCAACATATAGGCTGGGGGTAGGGTTAGCCTTGAAGATCCTTGAGGTGCTTAGCCGTACCATTTTGCAGGGCAGAGGCAAACGCAAATCCATGCTCCTGGTCGTTGGATTTCTCGGTGATGCTGTCCCCTGTAACACCGTCAGTTTGAGCTAGTAGGAGGGTTCACATTCCATACCGAAGAGAAGGAACTGGTCGAGAGGACCAACTGGGAGCTGGCTTGGCATTTTGTATTACAATTAGGCTGCGCACTGGGTACTCACGAGTCGAGTAGTAGAATTTTTACTCACCCAGCTGAGTTACTCGCTCATGTCCCGAGTATTGTTGAATGAGGATTACTCACTTGCTGAGTACCTAGTATGGGTCTTTGTTGGAACAGGAAGTACCGTGGTACGGGATCACACACAAATCATGTGGTTTCTCCAGTGGTCGGGACTTCTCACGGGTGCAACGGGGCAGGAATTCTCACACAGTATATAGCTTACTATAGCAAAATAAGATCGATTGATTAACTACACTATCTAATGGGCCTACGTGGCTATTTGTAGGCCTTTCGGAGGTTCTGCTTCGACCCCCCAAAAGCCCCCTATTCTGGTGGCTTCAGAGCTGAAACCCCAGTTGAGACTGTGGTGGTTTCCAGCACCGGTCGGAGATCCTGGGATGCCGTAGTGGATTATAGGGCCAAATACCACCGTATCCCACGCCCACGGCCTACTCTCCAACAGTCTTGGCAACTCAGTTATATCACGTGTTTGATTAGCCATTACTTATGTTAAAAACGGGGTGCGACTTCATTGATCAAGACGCCACAACTCCAACTCCATTCCCATATTGTTGATGTCCTATTCCACACTATAACCTTTGGCCTTTAGGTACCAGGTTACCAGATGGTTGCCAGAACTCATCTGACCTTCATTCCTGGGTGAGAGACATTTCCATCGATTAAGCCCACAGCTTAAACATCATATCCTGCAAACGCCGAACCAATATCATACCCTTTGCCTGAATTGTCACTCTCTTCGCATGAATAGCGAGGAGGTTTGTCACTATAACTGTTAGTATGTCCCTGTCACTATGTTTAAACATCATACTCTCAAATTCTCGAATGAGGAAGCATTCAGCAGCTTCCTAAAGAGCTAGGATAGCAGATTGCTGGAAGCGAAGATTGGACTTGAAGTCTTCTGTGATTTCCCTAACAAGACGCTGGAATGGGAGCTAGTATCAAGTTGCTGTCTTCTGATATCGCGGAGAGCCTTGGTGCCTATATGTTTATTAGAGAGTTCTGGTAATCCTCTGGTAATCCTCTGGTAATCCTCTTACTAGACTTTGTGCAGCGCGTGGCCTTCTGAGCATGATTGTTGCTAGCTTGAGATGAGCAAACTGGAGCTTTTCTTGCTGTGCCCACAGCCTTTTCCTGTCCCTTTCCGCCAAGCCCAGAGCCAGCCCGTAATCCAAGTGGCATCCTTGGTGCTATGCCGCCAGTTGATCTCCTAGCAGTTTGCTTGGTACGAGTCATTTGCTAATATCAAGGTGAGTTAGTAAAGTAAACACAAGATAAAGAAGTAGATCAAAAGATATGTGTACTTACAGTGAGTTTGTAGAAAGAATATTGCAGAAGAAGAGTATAGTAAAGAGGTAGAGGTTGAAAGGTATGTGTTTTATATGAAGGTGCGCATTGTGGTGTTGTTTTTGGAACAGTAATTCTTTGTAGGTGAATATTCCTTCACAAATATTTTTGTTTGCAACTTTAAAATAACCACGACCTTAGAACCACCTTCCTTGGTTACTCTCCGATCTACACATTCTTCTTCCCTTTTGAGCCTTTACCTCTTCACTAGGACTTCAACTAAGTTTATTATCTTGATTCTATAGCCAGAACTTCTGGAGATCTCTGCTAATCACGTGTTTAGTTAGTATGGCGAAACTCAAGGCACATGAAGAACTCTCCACTAATGCGAATACTATCAAAGCTCGCAACTGCGTCTCCAACCTTACTGAAGATGAGAAGGCTGTTCACTTAGCACTCAAGGCTGACCATGCTGATCTGAGCTACTACTTAAAGAAGTTATATAAGTCTGCAAAGTGTAAGGATGCCTCCTTACCTAGATACTCGAAGAACCCGCCTCAGAGCTGTTACGGTCACCACAAGCATGAAATCCGACTCGGTGTGGTTTCGGACCAGTAGAGGAGGACATAGCGAGTTACACTATAGTGGGGGACAGTAAGGGTGTAGGGTTCAGGGTCGATGCGGACCTGTTGCGGTGAAAGGTTCAGGGCTAGGGTTGGGATAACCGAGTCGGGCCCGTTTCGGGTACTTAAGGAAACAAACTTAACGGGGTTCCCCCTTCATCTTTTTTGTATCCTTCGTAGTAGACCTATAGGATAGCATCCTTTTAGCCTCCAACTCGCACTCTCATATGCTATTACTGTGAGCTGGGTGCCCTGTGTCATTACACAAAGTATATCGCTGCCTCTACTGAAGACAAGACACGTCTACAGAATGAATTGAAGGTTGAGTGTATTTGTGTTCGGTAAGTTCCTTCTGGTAATCTCTGGTAGCCTCAATCTAACTATAAACAGGACTGAGAAGGGTACCCATGCATCTTGCATTGCGAATCAGAAAGTCAAGAATATTAGCGCCTCTTCTTCTCCACAAGCCCCACCATCTACTCCGCCCAAACAACTTCTGTCTGAGCTTGCTGCATTTGAGGGTATCTCAAGTATTCCAATCGATGACAATCATAACAGCGAATGGGAGGATACTGAGGTTGAAGACGATTTGGAGTTGGAGCTTATGTTACAGCGCGAGATATTTTAAATGACGAGGCTGTTCTACCAGATGAGCTTTCCGATGAAGAGATCACTAGCACCCAGGCTCTCTTAACTCAAGCGCACATTGATGTATGCTACCTCATAATCTGGTAATCTTCTGGTGATACTAATAGTTGATAGGCCCATGAAGAGTCCAATTTCCGCAAGTGGCAACATTTCTGGGATAGCTGTATCCACTCATATACGAGAAAGGCTGGAAAGCTGAGAAAGAAGCCTGAGCGTCTCTTTGAGTATATGCCGTGGATTGATGTAGAGGAAGGGTACGTCTCTGATCATCCTAGCAATCTTCTGGCAATACTAATTGTTTATTATAGCACTTTTCACGAGGTTATCCCACCACATAAATATTTCTGTTTGTACGAGCAGGCAGTTTGGAAAGTGGGCCTAATTACCAGGACCTGTGCAGTGGTACCCAAAGTCTTACAATCTTGTCGACAATGGATGGTTGCAAATATCCACTCATAGTTCTAGCTTCAAAGAGGCGTTCTTACTTGTCTACTCTAAGAAGTTTGATAAGGAAAAGTGGGCTAAGGTATCAGCTGCACAGGATATGTTGTTCCTGGAGCTAGAGTAGAGGAGAACTTGAGTTGCTAAAGTTATAGCGCTGGAGTACCTTTCGCGTTGGAAAACCAGGTATTTAAGTACTTCATCGTAGCCAGACTTCTGGTAACCTTCTGATAATCGAGCAATTTGCCAAATGCCATCTCAATACTCAGAGTTGTTTGATTCTGACAGTATTCTCAGACTCTTTTCCGTCTTCTCAACGACTATCCTCATTAAATTAAGTCTGTAAGGACACAGGGCACCCAGCTCACAGTAATAGCATATGAGAGTGCGAGTCAGAGGCTAAACGGATGCTATCCTATAGGTCTACTACGAAGGATACAAAAAAGATGAAGAGAGGAACCCCCGTTGGGTCAATCTCCTTAAGTACCCGAAACGGGTCCGACTCAGCTAACCTGCCTTAACTCTTATCATGTGACCGTAACCTGCCCGACTCAGATCCTTTCCATCACTGAGGGACAGGCATCCTTACAAAGTCCCTGCAGGCCTTGAATATATTGGCAAGTTAAACCAATTCGTCAAATGGACTAAGGATACACACGATATATTCATTGAGTGGTGGAAGCTATCACGATGGTATGAACAACACTCAGATCATACTACAAAACTCCTTATGAAGATTGCATGGGATTCAACCAACTGGAGTTCTCAATACTGGAGAAGTTATCACCAAGGAGCAGACCGGCTTTCTGGAGAACCATGTGTTATTTGTACTTATTGTTCGAAGGCCCTTACGCATCCTGCAATCAAGTCTGCTGGCCCAAAGTCTATGGCAACACATCTTGCATCAGACATTTGCAAAAAGAAGTCACAGATGGGAAGGATAGTCTCTATCAAATGCGAATCAATCAAATGCAACCTCAACAAGTAAGGATTACCAGATTATTACCAGAATTATGTAGGTTAATACCTATAATAAGATCATATTCTCACACAAGAGACATTTTATGAACAAGTTCTATACACAGTTATCTTGACTCATAGCTCATTCCGCTCAGTCGAGGATCCTCATCAAGACCCTATAAATACTTTAGGTATTAGTAGGTCTGGCCGGCCTCATCAAGCAAGGTGGAGGGATGTTCTTAAGCATATATAATAGATAATAGCGTTCTAATAATCTTCTGATAATCATGGTACTTAGATAGAGGAATATACATGATTCGTTCTCACAGCTTACTAGAGATGGCGAGAGTGATGCTAATAGATGTAATACTTTAACTTAACCATAAAACAGTATTAATCGTATGAGGGACTGTTCACATGATGCATAAATCTTACACGTGATAGCCGAGTACTCACCAGGTTTTTACAGAGTAACTGAGTATTGACCTCACTCACCGAGTCGAGTAAAAGGTTCAGCTACTCACCCAGCTGAGTAACCCACTGAGCGAGTGAGCCGAGTATTGAGCGAGTAGTGCGCAGCCTAATTACAATGGCAATTTATACAGGCATTCAAACAGGAAACCGATGAATGCCACAGTCACCGTTTATTCGCACGATGAGAACAACATGTCGTCTTTGATTACAAGCGCCATAAAACCCCGCCGCCAAGCTATTGCGCACCGCCACCATGAGAAACGCCTCAAAGTGCATATTGTACTATTCCCACCAATCGCTGCTTCCCCGTACAACCCGACCAAGCCACAATTGCCACGACTTGCCTGTGACTAGCGGTTGTCATATCCCTCTTGGTGCCGCGAGTTCAATTGCGACGGTGTTAGGCAGTGCAGCGACATGTATTCCTATTATAGAGCGAATGCGAGAAGGAACAAGCTTTACTGGGCCCATGTCTCATCCTTCGAATGCAGATAAGCATTTTAAAGGCCTGTTTAGGTTTCTGTCAGATCCATCGTGTGGTTGCCAAATGCGCGACAAGCATTAGAGGCATCTTCAGGCTGCGCCTCAAATTGCCATTTACGGAACGAGAGCGAAGGATGACGCGTAAGTATGATCTCTTTATAATTTTTCGAGTGTATATATCTCGAAAGACCAGCTCACTATGGTCTGCCTTCTTCTCCCCATCTCACGCGCCCTTTCTCAAATTTCACTACAATGTATCCACCAAGAGTTGCCTCCTTCTCCAACCCGTCACATACTGTCTCTGGAAGCATGGGAAACGAGGCCTTCTTGGCTGGCTGGCCCTTCACAGCCTCTGCGTTATTCGCATAGTCGGAAACACCGTGCAGCTTAACGCCTACAACAATCATTCCAGTGGGGGGCTTGCTACTCTAATTCTCCAGAGCGTTGGACTTTCACCTCTGATTCTTGGCGCAGTTGGGATTCTCCATGAAGCGTCAGTCTACCCTCTCTCCCCACCTACCACTACCTAACATCTTTTAGGAGACGTGCTCGCGATCCCACCCTCAACCGGAAATTCGAATGGATTCTTGTCATCCAATACCACCTCACCGTCATCGCAGCGATGGTCCTGGTCATCATGGGCATTGTGAAGTTGCAGGATGGGGCTTCCGTCGGGAATGTGCTAATGAAAGTTGGCATGGGAGTGGTTCTGGCCTGCTGGGCCATCCTTGCAGTTTGGACGCTGCTCTCATTCCGGTCATCCCAAGAATACGCTGCTGGCGGGCTCTCCGCTGATGGCACAAAGGTTGGCCCAATATTCGTCCTAACTCGAACCCAGCTAACCCCGGATAGTTGCTCATGGGGTTGCTTCGGCTCTTCCACTCATCGCGCTACGAGAAATATTCGCTGCAGGCTCATCCTACGGGCCTTCATCTAGCTTCACCTCGTCTCTTGCAGTCAAGATTTGCCTTAGTGTCGTTCCTGAGATGCTCTCCATCATCGTCCTCTCGGTTGCAGGCATACGCACACGTGGTATCGCAAATAAGTTTCAGAGGACGAAGTGAGTGTTGTATTAAGTGGAGGATTGGGAATATTTTAATGATAGTCGCTGGAATTACTAGCTGTTATACATATCCCCTTTTTTTTACTTCGAGGCAGCACGAGTATAACTATTGTCAAAGATTGGACGTGAAGGCATCCCAGTGGGGTTATGTAAGAGAGCGCGTTCCTACTCCGTATATACGATTCCGGGCGGGGTTTGGCACTAGTGCAGACCCTCCGCCTTGGCACCGCAATGCACGTGATTGGAATATGCACGTGATGATGCTCGTGACAGGTTATGATCCTTGTCACTTGCGGCTGACGCGGCCCGTCATCGTTTCCGTACTACACATCGTAACTCGTCCAACATCTCGGGATACAACAAAATCAAACCATGTCGGATTTCTCACCACAACCAATTAGTCGCAGCGCGAGCCCACCCCGTGGGGATATAGACCAATTCGTCCATTGAAAGCCAGAATTGGCGTAGCTAACCCTCCGTCACGACTATATCATAAGAAGTCAAGATATGGATGCCTGCAATGCCAAGCCCGGGGCGTTAAAGTATAGTCCGCATTTTCTTTAGTCGATATGTCAATAGCTGGGAATATCATGCCAAGCAGTCAGTCATAGATAGCATGCCTAACTTGCCACAGTGTGACGAAGTCCACCCTCTATGCGGAAGCTGCCACGGCATAAGGTTTCTTGCAATTATGCAAGGCTTGGGCCAAGTAGATCAAGTGAAAGCTCGGCCTCTACCTCCCGAGCCAAGACAGCCAACGACGCGACAGTAACCACAAAAGAACACCCCGATGCAGAAAAACGGCGCATGCTCGAGCTCAAACTCCTCTACCTCTATATGACTCATATACAGGTAGAGGAGTTTGAGCTCGAACGGACCATCCAGTGTTAGTCATATAATATGACTAACACTGGATGGTCCGTTTCCTTACCATCGAGGAACCTACTAGCGAAAGATCGCGGGAAATATGGGTCTTAGAGATGCCTGGCCTTGCATTGAAGCATGGCTCGCTCTTATATTCCATATACTGTATAACCACGATGCATCTCTCTAAGATGGAGCCTCTAAACCTTGAGGTTTTAGAAGCATTCAACATCTATTTCGGCCACGCTATCCGAATTCACCGGCATGAGGTTAGCCAGATTAATAAAGCCAATGCGGATGCGGCGCTTTTTACGGCGTCGGTAATTCGTCTTTGTGCTCTCGTCCTATTACAGGACAGGGAGATGACCCCATATACGCCTCCTACGAATGGCTTTTGATAACGAAGGAAGCTGGATATGTATTCGTCGAGGCATATCCATACGTCTATCAAGGGAAATTTTGGATAATAATAAAGAATTAACTGAGAATGGCGTTTTTGCAGGCCGTGGGATCTTGAGACTGCCTTCGGCGCCGTTTTAGCAAGCAAGAAACCGTGGGAGCTTGAGGGCACCTTTGCCGTCAAGGATCCAAATTGTCTTGCCCACCTGCTTGAACGAAACCAGGACCACGAACGAGATGAGCCCTGGAATGCAGACATCGAAAAGGTGTATAAGAAGGTGATAAGTTTTATCGGCACTACGAAGAGCGCAGTTAACGCCAAGAAGAACTCTGGGGATGTTCTGCTGTTCCCAATCCTAACTCCGAAACTATATATCGATTTAGTTAGTGAGCAACACCGCGAGCGTTGGTTTTGCTCGCGCGTTACTTTGCGCTTCTCGTGGCATATAGGGAGGTTTGGTGGGTTGGTGGTATAGGACGGAGAGAAATCAACGGGATTCAGTCCGCCTTGCCAGTTGGCTGGCACCAGTATATGAACTGGCCACTAGAAGTTGTGCTGGAGGGGGCGGTGAGGGAGCTGAAAAACTATCGATGTTGAGTTCTCTAAACTTGGGCTCTAAGAATCGATGATTCTCATAGTTGGGCTAAAACTTGAAGTAATGATAATTTACTTTCTAAACACGGCAGAGAAGCAGCTTCGGAGGTCAGCCGGGGCATAGTTGCGCCGACTTAAACCATGATGCGATGCCTGGGATACATGTTGGACGAGGCGCAGCATCTCCAGCGACAACGTGTCTCGACCAAAAGTTAGGACTCACTTTTTGCATATGGCTATAAAGATATCTGCATGTCAAGTGCTTAGACTGCGAACTTTATGACTTATCCAAAATGTTTCGAAAGGCGCTCAAAAAAATAGGCAAGAAGCGTGACAGCCTTGTCTCTACGCCTCCAACCGCGAGCCAGGTACAGGCAACCACATCTCCTTCAGCAGGACCGTCAACGGATAGAGCAATTACAGAAGTTTTTCGCGCCCGGGGCGATGCTAGAGCGCAAGCTGGTAATTATAATGGGGCTATCGTGATGTACGATGAGGCACTGGCTGCTACCCCAACTGATGCGGCTCTCCTGTTGAGCCGGTCTTTTGCCCATGCGATGTCGACGCCGCCAAATCTAGGTTTAGCTCTAAAAGATGCAAACGCTGCAATCCAAATTGATTCCCGGAACTGGCAAGCTTGGCAACAGCTGGGAGAGACGCGCTTGAAAATGGGATATATCGCCGTAGCAATGGAGGCTTTGGAAAATGCACTCGGCCTTGCCAATGGCTATGACAAGGTCACAGTGCAAAGGGCTCTCACAGAAGCGCGGTCTAGAATGCCGCCGCCTACTCTTTCGAGACAACAGACAGGTAAGCCCATCTCTTTCGCATATTGGTGGTCTAAAAGTTAACCACGCAAAGCACTTCCTTCTCGACCCGCCCAACCGGCTCCCCCAACTCCAGCTGCTCCGGCGTTTCCATCTGCTCGATCGTCTCCCGCTGCGCCATATTTTCCCGCTGCTCCTGCTTCTCCCGCTGCCTCACCCCCCTACACTGCTCCTCCTCCTCCCGCTGCTTCACGCCCCTGCGCTGCTCCTACCCCCCCGGCCGCTCGAGCTACTCCAGCTCTTCGACCCCAAGCTAGCCCGTCTCCCACAGCTGCTCGAGCTCCTCCGACTACGCCAGCTCCACCAGCAACATCCGCCTCTACATACCCCCTAGAGGCTTTTCTCAACCAACCCAGAAACCAGTCTGATGCCCCTCCCGGCTACACTCCTAGCGTAAACAATCCTGATCCAGCCGTGAGAATTCTGTCGCAGCAAGCAATTGGGACTAAGTTAAGAGAGTTTGAGACTACGCTAAGGGGAAGAAATAGGGGGTCCATTTCAGTTAAACCTTATACTGGCGAGGGATACGTCGATGCCGTACAGCTGGTCTATAATGGTTTGACCCAAGCCGACCTAACGAACAGAGAGCTTAGCACTCAGACTCAGACTTATCTCCACTCTAGCCTCTGTATGTTTACATTGCTCGATGATGCCGCGTTTAACTGACCCTCCCTAGCCACGATGACTTTTCACGAAATTGATTTTCCGAGCAACGTATTTCTCAACAATGACTGCGAAACCTCGCCCTTCTATGAAGGTAAAATGCCTGGAACAGTCACCATAACCGGATATTCCAAAGAGTACCGTGTCCATCAGCTCTCACTAAATCCGAGACTCAATATTACTTTCGAAGCAAGTGGTGCCCTTCCAGGAGCTTCGCTAGACAAGATCGTGCAGCGAATTTCGGCATTGCAACTACTAGGGACGTCTGAAGACAGCAAATTTCTCGGGCAGCTGCTTGGCCTATCTCAGATAGAGATTTTACAGACGGGCTTTCATCCCGCAGGCGGCAATAGGCAGAAACAAATCGACACCATCTGTATGAAATTGAGCGGTAGTTTATACGACGCCCCAAGCCGGTTTGTCGACTTTAGCAAGGCTAGAAATATCAGCAACAATACTCTCGGTAGTACTGCGCAGGGAATCGGTCTCCAAAACTTCCTCTACCAGATTCTACTCGGAGCCGAGTTGCTTGTGCGGCTGCGAAAAGAACCAGTGAATACCAACAATGGCGGTATCATGACCGACGCCATATCCGCACTGGTCATTCTCAGCGCGCTGTGGATGCAGAACGTATCCATCACCGCCGCGGTAAATTCTACCGCCGCTCCCCTACCAGCAAACAAAATGTACACGCTCTATTCCATACACAACCAGAGGCAGATTGAGGGTCTCATTCGCTTTGGAGAAGCTCTCTCGTGGCCATTTATGGACGAGGCGAGGGCATACATTGAGAATGTATATAATGACCTTGCGACTGGGGCCGCAGGTATAGGTTTTGACATCTGCGACTGGCTTTTTGGCCTTGTCCTCCCTGGGAAGATATTTCGCCACAGAATCATGTGCTGCCTCGTGGATGCCACGCCTTCGGTGCGATCAATCAACGCCTCCCCTTTCTGGGACAGCGGAATCGTCGTTCAGAACAAGAGTTACTGGCCGAAACGGACGGTTTTAGGAAGGGTGCTTGGTGGACTCAACAACCCGAAGAGTCTCTGTGGTTGGATTGGGCCAGTTCCTGCTCCGCAAGGTTGGACTTCATCAGCCTGGATCAAAATCAATGCTCGCGCCGTCGACGTCCCAATCCCCGTTAGCACGACGCAACTACAACTTACTCTCGACGGTCTCGGATTGGCCGACCCAGACGTGAACGAATCGCCCGAAGCAGCATTGGAAAGCATCACCGACATCGGGCAATGGATCCAGGCTCTTGGTCCATCGCCGACTGCGCCTCGAAACGATGTCAAAAAGGTCGAATTTAAATCCCTGCGTCTGACAGAGGTAGCTGGCACTCCCGCGGCAAAGGAGTACCGTGCGACGGTCGACTTCACCATTAACAACGTTCCCATAAGCTACGTACTATACTCGAATCCGCTCTTCGTATGCGCCCCCCCTTGCGTCGGGACTCACCTCATGCACCGGCGCCAAGCCGTCAAGTATCTCGACAGTGTAGTTAAAGTGGAAGACCTCAAAGAGGCATATCCGCCGACAGACAAGCTGGTGATCATCGATGCTCAGGGACCAGGGGAGCAAGTGGTTGCACGGGCGTGGTGTGCGGAGCGCGCAAGGAATGCCATCGTAAGGAAGGGCTTAGATTGTTGTTTTGCATGTGCAGTAAATATTGCGCACAAGACTACGGGGTTAGGATTTCATGTTCTTATTTGGAGTTGATTATGTGTCACGGGTTTGATATAGCGTTTCTTCTTCTTCTTTATGAGCACTATGAAAGATAACTAATTTATTACTCCCTTGCCGTCGCTCCCATCACGCTCTCACACCGACTGGTCCTATCCCCGCGACCTCGGGGCTCGAACGGCTCGAGGGGTGCTGTGTTGGGGTAGCTATCCCCCCACCTCCCTTACCCCCTAAACACACCCCTATGCAGAACGTCCGGTGTATATAGCGCTTAATACGAGTACATTTTAATTCATAAGGCTAGATGGTCTAGTGGTAAGATGTCCGTCTCTCAATTATCAACCGGTTTTGGATAGCTCCAAACTCGCCTTCGGCAAGCCCCCGAGTTTGAGGTTGAGAACCGACGGGAGACTCCAGTTCGAACCTGGGTCTGGCCATGTTTTTATCTATTTTTTGGCCCATTTTGGACTTTTTTGGACTTTTTTTTGAGGAACGAGGTTGCACGTTCGAGTCTTGGATGAGGCTTTGTTGCCTGGCTTGGTGCCTATTGCCCGTAGCCTGTTGCGTAGCCTGTTGCGCCCATCCTATCCCATTGTGCGTACTGCCTTTATGCCGCCGTTACGCACTCACGATCCTTAACTGGGATCCGCCTCTAATACTCAACAGTGCGCTGTCCTGCCCGAGAATCTGAAAGGTATGTTAACACGTCTTAATTTATATATATATCTAACTGCCTACAAAAGCTAGCCATCCTAGCATCAACGCCACTCCTGAGCACACTTTAAATTCCAATTGCAAATATCCCTCCTTATATTCTCACATCTCCATTACCACCTCGAAGCCACTCATCTGTTGTCCAATCCACCCCAAATCCCAAACCCTCGCAAAACTATCAAAACCACTCATCCACCCTCACCCCCACCGAACCCCTCTCACCCCTCAAATCCCACTGCTACTCCCCCCACCCCCCACCGCATGCGCAAAAACCTTCGCCGCAAGCTGACTCAACAACCTCGCCTTATCCCCCTGCGGCAACTCCTGAAACACCGAATACACACTCATCCCCCTCGCATCCCTCACAGCTCCCAGCCTATTCCCCGCGACCGCCCCGGCGACCATCCCCGGGAAATTCGCCACAATAAACCCCATCGCCGCACCACTCAGCCCCCCCACCACCGACCAGAACCGTCCCGTGCCATGCCCAGCCTCATTCGCCATCCCCTCCTCCCTAAGCATCTCCTCGAACACATCGCCGAATTGCGCGGACTCGGCTTCCTCCCGGTTGGGGTGCGTGTTGAACCCGAAATTCTCCCACCAGTTCCCCCCCGTCCCCGCGCCGTCGGAGGGACGAGGGATGTCCCAGGCGTCCTCGTCGGAGGCAGCGGAGGGGCCGGAGGTGAAGCCGCCTGGGGCGGGGTGGGGGCGCGCGAGGTCGTATTCGCGGCGCCGGGTGGCGTCGGAGAGGGTGTAGTAGGCGTCGTTTATGAGTTGGAATTTGCGGGTGCGGGAGGCGCGGTCGGGGGAGTCGGAGGGGACGCGGTCTGGGTGTGTTTTAAGGGCGGCGCGTTTGTAGGCGTCGCGGATTTGTTGGGGGGTTGCGGTGGGGGAGACGTCGAGGACGGAGTCTGTGGGTTGGGTGCTGGTTAGTTGGAGGGTAAGGGTGAGAGTGGTGGGGGAGAGGGACGTACAGTAATCGGGGTTGCTGGAGGGAGACATGATGGTGGAGGGGTCTCGAGATGAAGGATTTGAATATCCTTCCTTTGAGTCGTGTATGCACTTATGAAAGATGTAAAACTCCCCTCCCTCGGCCACATCGTCATAGCTGTGGCGCAGGCCAAACCTGACATGTGGCGACATGAATTTTCATCACGTGATCTCTACCAAAAATCCCCTAACCCAAAATCCCCACTCGCTAAACCCCTAGTCTAGCCCCGTTCCCGACCCCCCTCCCCCCCCCCCCCCCCCCCGCCCCGCCAATCCCCAACCACCCCCAACGGCAAAGCTGACACGACGTGTATCACAAAAAGCGTGGATCCCCTTCGTGAGAGCCAGCACACACCTACATACGCACAACTCCACCCTTTTGCATCGAATTGTATATCCAAACGTATTACGACCTCACTTCGCTCTACCCAACGAACCGCGAAGACAAGCATCGTTGTTGCCTGACGCTCCACTTGCGACGGAGCAATTCGACACTGACAAGCAGCACAGCACAGCGAACGGGCGAAGTTAGACGAATAACAGGCGCAATGGGCTGGTTCGACGGCGCCTCAGAGGTAGCATCCTCCTACATCCTCGGCGGCTACGGCGGTACGGAGGGCCGCGCGAGCCCGAGCCGCAGCAGCCGCCACGGGGGGCACAAGAAGCATAAATCGCATAAGTCCAACGAGACGGGGAGTGCGTTTGGGGATTGGGCTGCGGGGGTGAGTGGGGGAGGGGTGCCGAGGCATGGGAATAGGAGTACGACCAGTTTTTTTAGTGTTGGTGAGTAGTAGACCTTTCTCTTATGTGTTGTTGTTGTTGCCCTAGTGGATTGATGGGCGGTTGATGGGCGTGGATTGGAGTGGAGGCAGTAGAAATGGGTTGGTGAATAAGATAAAAATAATAGCTAACAAACCACCCAGGCTCCGGCGCCCGCTCAGCAACATCCTCCTACCGCCGCTCCCCCCGCCGCGGCCTCCTCGCGCGCACCTACTCCCGCCTCCGGCACCTCCTCCGCAAACTCCTCCACTTCCTCAAGACGCACCCTCTAAAAGTATTCATGCTCGTCATCATGCCTCTCATCACCGGGGGCGCGCTGACTGGGCTTCTCGCGCGTTTCGGGATACGACTACCTGCTTCATTGGCGAAATTGGCGGGCCTGGCGGGCCTGACGGGGGGGAAGGGGGGGAATGGGGGGGGGCATAGTGGTGGAGGGTTCGAGGGGTTGGGGGGGGTGATGAGTGTGGCTAAGTTGTTTATTTGAGGTGGAGGGGGAGAGTGTTTTGATATCCGGGAAGGGCGGAGGGAGGATTTATTTGTGCCTTTGTTTGTTTTGGGGCAGTTTGGGAAGGGGTTTAGGAATATGCTTATACGATTTTCTTTTACCTTGGACTTGTTTCGTTGGATTGAAATTGATGATTATACCTCATCACAACTCTTCAATGCGAGTAATACGCACGTGCACGATTCACAGAACTGGCCCTCACTCATGGAGTGCATAAGACATCCCAAAACGGGGCTGTGGTAAATGTAAACGGATTATAGAGGTAAATAGAGTTACAGAAGTACTACCTAGCACCGCCCTCGCAGGTAAAAAATGCAAGATCCCCCCCCCCATTTCCCATCTATGCAAAAACATTTTATCCATCATTTTCTCCCTATTTACACTCAACATCCCCCACCTACACTTAAAACAACATCAAAAATCTCTTTTTAAACTCCCACAAAAATGGGAAAACAAGAACAAGCGAAGCAGAAAAACAAATATCTTACGTCTAATCTATTTCCTCCCACTCTTCCTGCTGCGCGCCTTCTTCGCAGACTTGTTAGGCGTAGCCCCGCTCGTCTCGCCAGCAGTGTCGTTCTCAGACGTAAAGTCCTCGCCCTCCTCGTAGTCTGAGTCAGAATCCGCAGCGGGGGCGGGGGAGAGGAAGCGGCCAGCGGACTTGGCGTAGATCCAGACGGGGAGACGGATGAGAGCCGTGTCGCGGAGGCGGGGGGATTGGAGTTCGGCGGGCTACGTCGTGTTAGTTCTTTCATTCCCGCAAGATTGACGAAAAAAAAAGGGGGGGTTTGGGTGGTGACAGGTGATAAGGGTGACTTACATCAAGCAACAGCTCCTGCATCTCACCATCATCATTACGCTGCTCGAGATACACGTTCCCCACCGCGTCAACAACAAGTATCTTCCCATTCTCAGCCACAACGCGCTTCTTCGGCCCAGTAACACCAGTCGGCGTATCAGCCGGGGACACCTTCGCCTTAGGCGCCTTAACCTTCTTCTCCGGCTTCTCCTTGCGCGAGTCCTTCTCCTGCATGCGTCTCTGCCTACGGTTCATAGGCTGCATAGCAGCCTCCGCATCGCTATCCGTTGCCGGCGGCGTCTCGGCGCCCGCATCCACGCCCGGGATGGAGAGGTTCGCGCTCCCCGCCGCGCGTCTCGCGAACTTGACGTAGCGGCCTACAAACTCCTGCTGTCTCTTCCAGCCGAGGTACAGCGCGAAATAGTGTCCCGCGCCGCCGACGAAGATGAACAGACCCAGCAGCACGGTGCCGAACCCAGGGCGGAAACGCGCGTAGTAGTATCCCGTGCCCTTCCAGACGGGGAAGCCATTAGCGAGGAAATGGTCGTAGCGCGCGCGCTCCGGCCCTTTGAGGAGTTTCTGGACGAGACCCAGGCGGGCGAAGCGGTCGGAGGCGGCTTTGGCGGCGGCGTTGATTTCGGCGTTTGAGGGGCGGTCGGCGGGTTTCTTGGATTTGTCGGTGGACTTGGTGCGGGAGGCGATGAACTTTTGCTTTACTTTGTCGGGGTGGAGGGCGAGGGAGCGCTTTTTGTAGGCTTTGGTTATCTCGTCGTGGTTGGCGTTTTGTTTGAGGTTGAGGAAGTCGTAGAAGGTTACTTCGGGGCCTTCGGAGAGGGCGATTTCGTCGCGGAGGCGGAAGATTTCTTGGTCTGTGGGGCTGGGGTGTTAGCTGGTGGTACGGATTGGATGGTGAGAGTGGGAAATGGAAATCGGAAAGATGAGATTGGGGAGGGAGAGAGCTGTACCTTCTTTGCTCCAGGCGGCCACCAAGGTGACGGCGCAGGCAATGACAGAGAAGGCGAGGGAGAGCTTCATGATGGCTGGAGGGATGACGGGGAGAGGAGAGGAGAGGAGAGGCCAATTAAGAGACCTGGTGGTGTTGGCGGTGATGTGGCACCTTCTCTGGCAATTAAAGATTGGACAGCGTCGTGGTCATTGAGGGTGATGAAGATGAAGTCTATACGCGGACCTGACGCTCTCACCTCAGGGAACTATAAATGTTGCGACGTTGTCACTTCCCAAAAAATGGCACGTGACTTACTGTGTGGTTCCAAGAAATACTCACGTGACTTACTGTGTGGTTCCAAGAAGTACTCACGTGACTTACTGTATGGTTCCAAGAAGTACTCGGGTGGTACATGCAGAATATGTGGAAAATAGAGGCAGATCTTTTATCTGCCCAGTCCGCGCAAGTACCACCCAAGTATCCCCTCTCTCAGCGTATAGAAATCCAGGCTCCAAGAGCTGGCGTATGGGAAAAGAGGGCAGACGACACCGCATCAAGTACCACTCGGTACTTTCTGGCGGACGACGCATACGTGTATACCCGACAATACATCATACCGACAGCCGACGGTATACCGACATAAGCTTCCTGCAGCCTCTCCTCCCCATTCTCCCCATTCTCCCCATTCCCCTCAATAGAAAAAAAGAATCCATAGATCCATAGCTGTGTCTTATCCTATTTGGTATATCTTGTCGCCGTGTCCTCTCTTCTCTTCTCTCCCCTCCTTCCTCTTCCTTCTCTCCCCTCCTTCCTCTTCCTCTTCTCTCCCCTCCTTCCTCTTCCTTCTCTCCTTCCCATCCTTCCCAATCCTCACTTCACTCTCTGCCCCCGCTCTCTGCGGCCCTACTATACCACCAGCGCCCATTTGCTGGCTGGACCCAAACCCCCGTGGTGCTCTCCAGCAACAAACTCGATAGATACTCACCGCTGCCCCGACATTCAGCCGCCGCATCAAGAGTCAAGGGGACATATCGTGCGTGCAAGGAACGAGGACGAGGTCGTGGTCGTGGGCAAGAGGTCGTTGTGCTGAGTGAGTTGCTCCTTCATCCTCTATGCCAATCCCTTCAACTTGCACTGCACCCTGGAGCCAGTCCCCCATCCACAATGACGAAACTCCCTGCTTACTTACTCAAGTCCGACCACAGACCACAGAGCAACTTACGAAGACTCTCCTTCGCTCTTCTGTCGAAATTCGACAGGAATAGACCCCGAATTCATTCATCAACTGCTTTCCCTCCAAGGCTTCCAGATCGCCAATCACTGCCCGTTGCCCGAAAAAATACGTGAACCAACCCCTGTTGCCGATTATCGGATTATTTGGGGATTATTATGGGCCTTCGAGACTCTCCTATTTCAGTCAGCTCCAGCTCCCAAAAAAGATTCACAGCCTACAAAAAATACGTTCGTCAGTCATCGAGATTACATTCGTCGACCTGTTCAATTGTCCACTTAGACTTCACTATTTTCCCATTATAAACAAAGGTTCGTGGGCCTGGCGCCTTCCCGAAGCTAGTACCTTGCTGGTGGCTGGGCGACTTGCGTGTTCTTTGCTGACAACAGCCCCTGCCCATCACAGCTCCTTCGCACCTCCAAAAAGATTTGACAGATCTCCCTCACGACACGAAATCACTACAATCATCCACACCCGTCATCGGTACAGAAAGGACTCAATCCGCACCTCGATTGATCAGAAAGCATCTCTATCAGCTAACTACAACTTCACAAAAACATCAATTACCTCTCAATTCGTCCTTAACAACAACCCAACCTTCACAATGGCACGCATTCAGATCCCCCTGGACGTCTTCACGTCGAGACTCAACCTCTCCGACCGCCTTGCCGGCTTCCGCTCGCAGACAATCGGCTCCCGCTTCGCCAACATCAAGCCCATCTCCGAGTTCCTCGACTTCAAGCGCCTGTCCAAGCCCGCCAACTTCGGCGAGGCCCAGTCGCGCGTCAACTGGAACCTGGGCCACTTCTCCAGCAACTATGCGGCCGTGTTCGTGATGCTCAGCATCTACAGCCTGGTGACGAACCCGCTCCTCCTCTTCGTCATCATCCTCATCGTCGGCGGCATGTGGGCCATTGGCAAGCTCGACGGCCGCGACCTCGAGCTCGGGGCCAACCGCATCACCTCATCCCAACTCTACACTTTCCTCCTCATCGTCGCCATCCCTCTGGGCTTCTTCGCGTCGCCCTTCTCGACAATCCTGTGGCTCATCGGCGCGTCCGGAGTCACCATCCTAGGACACGCCGCATTCATGGACAAACCCATCGATGCGGCTTTTTCCGGGGAGGCGGTCTAGGTGGTCGGCCGCGATCTCCCGAATCTATGCCCCCATGGGGAAGACCACCGGGGGCGAAGGGGAGCAAGGCGCGCAGGCGGTGGGAGCGCGACCAGGCGCGCTACCGCGAGAGCGTGCGCGTCGAGGAGCTCGACTCGGACGACTCCTCGGACGCCCGCGGCGTCGCCGTCAACGGCTACCCCGCCCGTTACTCCGCCATCGACGTCGCCCCCAAATCGAGAAAGGCATACGCGTACCAGCCCGACTCGTCGTCCAGCAGCAGCGCCTCCTCCACCGACAGCGACAGCAGCGACAGCAGCGGCAACGTCAGCGCGGCCCAGATCGCCCTCCGAGACAAGGAGGAGGCCCTCGTCCAATCCGCACTCGCGCGCATCCGCCGCGCACAAGAAAAAGGAAAGTTAGAAGTCAAGCTCCGTGAGGATGAGCTCGCCGCCCTCGAAAACAGGCGGAAGCGCATCGCAGCCGAGAACGCGACGAAGGCGAAACCGAAATCCTCGCCCTCGTCATCCAAACGCGATAAAGCCAGTGGTGGCAGCGAGCGCAGAAATAAGAAAGGCTCAGGCCCGCCGATGGTGACTGTTCCCATCGTCCCGCCGCCTGAACTCGCGTCGTCCTCGTCGCGGCCGCACTCTAGACGACATAGCCGCGCTATACACGCTGATCCAGCACTAATGGAGTCGTACGCTGCGGAATACCGTCCTCCCTCCTCGCACCAGCACCAACACCACGCCTCACCCGGGCGTCCACGCTCGTCATCCTCGCTCGCGCGCCCGGGGTCGCAACACTACGCGTACCCGCCTCCACCGATGATGACAGGTCGCCATGTCTCGGATGGAGTGAGGCCGGGGTCCTCGGCGTCGATGGCGGGGATGCAGATGCCCATGACTGTTATGCGGGCGCTGTTGCCGCATGAGGAGGGCTGGGACCCGAGTGCCTCGCGCAGGGGGAGCGTGGGGAGTGGGGTTGAGTATGATCCGTTTGAGTACCAGGTTAGGGCTGAGGGGGAGTATGGGCGCGGTGGTGGGGTTGGGGGGGGAGGGGGAGGGGCAGGATATCCTGTGGGGGGGGAGGTGGTGTATTCGAATGTTAGGAGGGCTATGCCTCCTTCTGGCGCAGGGGTGTATGTGGAGAGGAGGAAGGAGAGTAGTAGTAGCGAGGAGACGGATGAGGGAAGTGGGGTTAAGGTTGTGCCGGAGCGGGTTAGGGAGAGGGAGAGGGAGGTTGTCCCTGTTCCTGTGGCGACGCCGAAGAAGAAGGGGAGGAAGAAGAAGCGGTAGCGGTAGTTATTTTCGTTGGGGGTCGCACTTTTTGGACGATTCCCGGGTTTGTTTTTTTTTGAGATTTTGTTTGGCTTTTTGCGAGGTTTAATGATGATGACTGTATGTTTGCTCTTTTAGCTCTAAAAGGGAGGAAGGGGGTGCATATAGAAGTTTATTCATAATGGGTCGAAAAGCGAGGGGGGTTATATATTATTTTATGATGGCTGATTGATATTTATTATCGTTTTTTTGGTGTGAAGTGAAGTGATGTGATGTGGTAGGTGGGTTAGTGATTGGGTGAGTGGCGAATAAAGGATCTTACGGACAGAGAAGTTTTTGTGGGAGAGAGGCCAATGGCGGTGGATTTCATTACGGTATCGCGAGGGATGGGATTCACACAAGGGGCGGCAGACTAACTTACCTTTGCTGGTCTCTCTGGGACCGTTATATCGGTAGAGCCGTGGTGTTGGGTGGTCGGGATGGTCGAGGTGGTCGCCATCTCGAAATAAGGGCAAGGGCAAGGGCGGCAAGGCTCGCCCGCTAGGCCGGATGGCACCGATTTAACTATTATCAACACAATAGTAGTAGCTTCCTACTGTATGGTCGTTTGGTGAAACCAGCACGTATCTGTCACGGAATTGGGTTGGATCGCATCGACTTCGCTGCCGCTCACGGACACTATAAGGTACCACCAAAACTGTAGTTAATAGAGTATGATATTGCGTTGCTCTCTCCGACATTGCAGCTGTCGGCTCCACCGCACTGGATAGGTATCTACAGTAATATATACGTTAGACTTCTTTATTTCATTAAAATAGTTTGGACTGGGGGTAGGGGGGGATGCTGAGTCCACAACGTACACTAAGCTGAGTGTGGAGGTAACAAGAGCAATCAGGAGGACCATTCGCGCCGCTAGTTCCACGAACGTTTGCTTTTGGGGAGTGCTCGGACATTGAAAGTGAGGTTTCATTAAGATCGTATTCCTTTGACCCTGCAAGTCGGGCTGCCTGCAAAGACATTCGAAGTTGTCTCCATGTCAAGTGTGCCACGAGTGAAGCAAGCCTTGCTATTTTCCGCGCTCAAAGGCTTGGCCTGTAGGGAATTGGGACCTTGATTGAGCATCGTACGAAGCTATCAGCGTCGCTGTACATTCTGGTGCAGGTGATTCCTCGTGAAAAATCAGCATGCTCATGCACCATGTATGATTGCCCGTTTAGCAGGGTTAGCACAAATAATCATAATAATCATGACTAACGTACTTCATAAGCAAGTTGCGCATATATGCAAGTTGCGCACGCCCCCTCATTTTTTACGTGTCTGCACTTCAGGCGCACAAAGATGGCTATTTTACAAGTTTACGGGCGGCCGCAGACGCGTACGATATTCCAGCTTCAACCCTTCGATATCGCGTCAAGGGAGGACGCGCGCGGAGAGGTTTACGAGCTGCAAATACCAAACTTTCATCCACAGAGGAGGAAACTCTTATCAATTGGATGAACGAGGCTTACCTGTTAGAAGTAGCTCTATCCAGCAAATGGCGAATCTTCTCCTTCAAAAACGATCGAATACGGACCGCGATAGTCTCTTTACGGTTGGCAAGTGCTGGGTTCATAACTTCGTACAGCGCCATGACTCCCTCCAATCAAAGTACAACCGTAAATACAATTACCAACGGGCTAAATGCGAAGATCCTACAATTATTCGAGACTGGTGTCGGCTTGTACAAAATACGGTTGCAAAATACGGGATCCAAGACGAGGATATCTATAACTTCGACGAGACAGGTTCTGAAAGAGCTAGCCGTCCAGTATCTATTCAACCAGGGAACCGCGAATGGGTTATGGTTATTGAATCTGTGTCGTCGTCTGGCTGGAGCCTACCGCCAATGGTCATCTTTGAAGGAAAGGTTCATATCTCAACTTGGTACACAGATATACTCCCACAAGATTGGACAATTGCGCTAAGTGATCAGGGGTGGACGGACGACTCTTTAGCTCTCGCGTACAGATGTCTTCGAGAAACATACAAAGGACCGTACGAAGGGTGTATATCGTCTTCTAATCCTTGATGGACACGGAAGCCATTCTACACCCGCGTTTGACCTATTTTGCACAGAGCACACTTTGCATGCCTCCACATTCCTCACACCTTTTACAGCCGTTAGACGTAAGCTGTTTTGCAGTTCTAAAACACTTTTACGGACAGCAAATCGAGGGGTATATGCGCATGGGCCTTAATCACATTGACAAGCCAGACTTCCTCACAGCCTACGTTTCAGCCCGTAACAAGTCTATGGCTACAAATACGGTACGCAATGGGTTCTCAGCAACTGGTCTTGTTCCTTTTGACCCAGAACGGGTGCTTTCGAAGCTTAATACTCAGTTACAGACCCCTACCCCACCCGCAAACCCCTCCCCTACCCAGGGTCCTTGGGTACCTGAAACACCCCACAATATCTCTCAATTAGAGCTCCAAGCTCAGAAATTAAGGGATATATCAGCCGGCGTACACAGAGTCCGCCAAGTCCTACAGATTTTGCACTCAACCAGCTCGTAAAGGGTTGTCAGATAGCGATGCATTCCGCTGTCCTTCTTGCGGACGAGAATAGACAATTACGGGCTGAAAATGAGTGTCATACTGACATTCGTTGCACTCAGTTTGCTATCAAACTCAAGAGCAAACTTAGAAATCTTCTCCTCAAACCTACAAGTCACCATACATATCTTGGCTTATCACACCAACAACAGAAGCAATACTACTCAACGATTGCTGCAAAATCTTCTACTACATCTGTTTATGCTACATACATCACGGCATATCATTTGGACACTCATTGAACAAGTTATTAAGAAAATCTCCTCCTTAAGGGGGTGGGCCAATACTACCACATGGCATATCTCTACCAACTAGAGGCCTAGGAACATGAACGATAGCTCCAAAAGCTTCTACAACCCTCTATGATTCATTACACGTCATCGCTCCTTAGTTACCCACAAGATTGGTTAAGTTATGACATAATTTGTCTATAGGTACTCTGACCTTGGACCTCCTTTTACTTCCTATAGGCTACGAACCTAAGAGATGGTTCTATGGGATTCTCTTATGTCGACTACAGTTACCAAGCCTGGTAAGTCATGGAAAGTCTTGGAAAATGAGAGAACTACACTCCTTTAGCATAAATAGGATTGCCCTTTCCTTAAGAAAGGGCAAGCAGACAATACAGTAAATCGACTAGCACATACTTCCACGTCTTTTCCAAGCTTCCAAGCATTCATCTTGTTACTCCTTGTTTCTGAAAAGTCAGTGAGGTGTTAACCTCTGACTTACCCCTGAGTTCCCAGACTCAACATTTGTTGCAACTTGTCTGAACCACTTCACTACATCACACACCTGATTGCTGCGTTGTGGAATAGTTGTCATACTGACATTCGTTGCACTCAGTTTGCTATCAAACCCAAGACAAACTTACAAGTCACTATACATATTTTCGCTTATCACACCAACAACAAGAGCAATACTACTCAACGATTGCTACAACCATCTATGATTCATTACACGTCATCGCTCTTTAGTTACCCACAAGATTGGTTAAGTTATGACATAATTTGTCTATGACATAATTTGTCTATAGGGGTACTCTGACCTTGGACCTCCTTTTACTTCCTATAGGCTACGAACCTAAGAGATGGTTCTATGGGATTCTCTTACGTTCACTACATGATTAGCAAGCTAGTTGTGGGTTGCACTTGATTTCTAATACATTTACCAAGCCTGGTTAGTCATGGAAAGTCATGGAAAATGAGAGAACTACACTCCTTTGGCATAAATAGGATTGCCCTTTCCTTAAGAAAGGGCAAGCAGGCAATACAGTAAATCGACTAGCACATACTTCTACGTCTTTTCCAAGCTTCCAAGCATTCATCTTGTTACTCCTTGTTTCTGAAAAGTCAGTGAGGTGTTAACCTCTGACTTACCCCTGAGTTCCCAGACTCAACATTTGTTGCAACTTGTCTGAACCACTTCACTACATCACACACCTGATTGCTGCGTTGTGGAATAGTTGTCATACTGACATTCGTTGCACTCAGTTTGCTATCAAACCCAAGACAAACTTACAAGTCACTATACATATTTTCGCTTATCACACCAACAACAAGAGCAATACTACTCAACGATTGCTACAACCATCTATGATTCATTACACGTCATCGCTCTTTAGTTACCCACAAGATTGGTTAAGTTATGACATAATTTGTCTATGACATAATTTGTCTATAGGGGTACTCTGACCTTGGACCTCCTTTTACTTCCTATAGGCTACGAACCTAAGAGATGGTTCTATGGGATTCTCTTACGTTCACTACATGATTAGCAAGCTAGTTGTGGGTTGCACTTGATTTCTAATACATTTACCAAGCCTGGTTAGTCATGGAAAGTCATGGAAAATGAGAGAACTACACTCCTTTGGCATAAATAGGATTGCCCTTTCCTTAAGAAAGGGCAAGCAGGCAATACAGTAAATCGACTAGCACATACTTCTACGTCTTTTCCAAGCTTCCAAGCATTGATCTTGTTATTCTCTGTTTTTGAAAAGTCAGTGAGGTGCTAACCTCTGACTTACCCCTGAGTTCTCAGACTCAACATTTGTTGCAACTTGTCTAAACCACTTCACCACATCATACACCTGATTGCTGCGTTGTGGAATAGTCTAAGCTACAACCCTTTGGCTCTGTTTCCTAAGACAGTGTGTTGTCTTAGTAAATTCATCCCTTCCTTGGGTGGCTAGATTCTCATATCTGGTGCACCCACCATTACAATAGTCTAAGCTACAACCCTTTGGCTCTGTTTCCTAAGACAGTGTGTTGTCTTAGTAAAATCATCCCTTCCTTGGGTGGCTAGATTCTCACATCTGGTGCACCCACCATTACACCACCTTGAAGGGGCAAACTATCCTATCACTATTTACAGTGACCATTCAAATCTCTTGACCTTTACAACCACTAAACAGCTCAATCGATGACAAGCAAGGTGGTCTGAACAACTAGGAGGTTTTGACTTTGTTATAAAACATGTCTCAGGGGCCAAGAATCAAAGAGCAGATCTCCTCTCAAGAAGACATGACTACCAAGATTCTGCTAAAACAAGCAATACAAAGGCCCTGCTAGACTCTACAAAGCTTATAGCAGCATCTTTAAGCAACCCTCGCACTACAGAGGACTTAGAGGGA